TTCTAGAACAATTAGATTATACAATTAGAATTGTGCGCGGGTGGGTTGGGAAGGGGCTGTGTGCCTGATTGAAGACTGCTTAAATATGGACACACTTGCGTGTATGTGTACATTTTTAATTGTATGTGTGTATATGTATATACACTCATACTTGCGTGTGCTTGTGTAGGTCTGTGTATGCATGTATGCATGTATGTATATATGTAATTATGTCCGGCTATGGTCAAGTGTTCACATATTTTCTGTTATTCAATTATAATTATAAATATAAATGTTTAACCCCCTTTGCCCAGTTTTCACCTTTGTGAGTGGAATTTTGTAAAGTCCACGCAATGTTTTAATATGGGCTTGTAACAATCTTAGGTTTTTCTTTATAACTGACGACACGCGCGCGCTTTGCATTTTTGCATAGTTGTTGCTATTTGTAATTGCTTATCAGTGTACACAAACACACACATTGAAACATATTAACAGTTAATGGCTGATAAGCAATAACGTACAAAGTGCAAAAGAGAGGGTGAGAGTAAGAGTGAGAGCGGGAGCGAGAGAGACTAGCAGCGAAATCCACTCCGAAACGCAGCGAATTCGCTCTTTAAAATCGCTTTAAATTCAATTTGCATGGCCAGCCAGCATATCACGCGAAGCGAAACGGAGCAACAGTAAAGTGTGGTTAAGGAGAATATTTTGGATGGGGAAGCTGCTGCTGGCGGCGGGTGGGTTGGGTTGGGTTTGCTGTGCGGTGCAGTGTGGTTGGGTGGGGGTGGGGTTTGGTTATCGTTGCCCTTTGGCATCAAATGAAGTTGTCGCTGACATACGCCGCCTCCTGCGGTTCGTTGCGACCGACCCCTACAGCGCGCCAAAGAACGCGCGTCGTCCTACATTTGCGACTTTGCGCCGCCTGCCGCCTGCTGCCTGCTGCCTCTCGTCCGTCTCTTCCCGCTCTTCTTCGTCACACCGTTTGCGCCTCTGCTGCTTCTACTGCTACGTTGTCGTCGCGGTGTTCCCCTTTCTTTGCTTTTTCGTTTTTTTTTTTTTTTTTTTTTTTTGCACTTGCCGTTCGATTGTGTGACATTTTTTATTTAACGTTTTTAGACTACGCTGCTGGCGCTGCTGCTGCTGCTGCTGGCGCTGCTCCACTTGTTCATTTTTATACCCTGTACTCATTAAAAATAGCAGAAAAAAGAAGCAGAGTGCATAATTGAGTTGTGCGAATGTACATGCACAGACACACACATACGCACATACATACATACGCACACATGCATGCATATCTATGTAAGAGGCAGATGGAGACGTTTTCGATGCCTTTAAGCAAGTATTTGTGTATGTATGAATGTTTGTACGCAAGCATGTATGTATTATTGTATGTTGTATGTTTGTTTGCATGTATGCATGTACGTATGTATAATTCGTCTGTCTGCAGAACGAACCAGTTTATTTGATTCGATAACTTGTCCGTCTCTATTTTCCTCCAATTCTTCTCGTATGTATGCATGTATACACAACTTCGAAATTTAACGGGATTTTTAGATAACATTTTATATGCCCCAAATGAAATCATTGCTAATTACAGGGTATTTCCCAGTCCTTAACTCTGCACACTTGTTTCTTTTTATTCGCCTAACACGTTCTTTTGTTAAGGATCACATCGCGCTTTCCATAGCTAATGATGGATAATTTATAAATATGCCAGTTAATAGCCTTGAACTCGAAAAACCACAAAAGCAGAACGCCGTAATATGACGGCGAGGAGGAGGCGGACGAGGTAGGTGCGGGCACAAACAGGTGCCCCAATTTTCATGAGAATTGTGTGCGTTGGCCTGCGTGTAGCAATGCTCCCCCCTCCCCTCCCCCCTGCCAAGCGCTCAAATACACACACACAACGAGACAGCGGCATATTTCGCCACAGCCCATCGAGAAAACGTGCGCAAAACGAAAACACAGATAAGACAAAAGACAAAAAAAACCAACAACAAGTAATAAGCAAAGCTCCCCCCTCCCAATCGCGCACGTCAGTCAGTTTGCTATTGAAGCAGAGTGGACAATACCGTTTGCTTATCGGTCGCATGCCATGCAGACGCACACATTGAAAGCACACACACGCACGCACACACACACACAGACGCCACACAGACGCCACACAGACGCCTTTACACTTGTGATTGAGCGCACGCTCTCACTGTCGCACTCTTAGTATGTGACTACTGCTGCTGCTGCTGCGGCTTTTTACCTACTCAATGTCAGCGGCGGCATCCCAAAGCATTGATAAAAGCTTTATTACTATTAATTGCTGTCAAAGAAGAACTCGAAAGCGCAGTCAAGTGTAAAGCTTGAGCGCTTTGATGTTGTCATATGTTGTGATCCGCCGCAGCGCCAAAGTGTTGATTTGTTCTAAATTTAAAGCTTCTTTCGCAGCTGGCAGACATTGAATGGGAATAGGGCTCTCTCTCTCTCTCTCTCTCTCTGTCTCTCTCTCTCTCTCTCTCTCTTTCTCTCTTTCTTCATCATGCTCTCTTAAATATGAACATTTACATAATATGATGGATAAAGCACTTGAGCATGACAGCGCAGAGCATTCAAATTTCCCCTTGCCAACACCCCCGCAGACAACTGCAGTTGGCAACTTTTATTTTGGGGTCACTTGTGCAATCATTGCTGCTGCTGCTGCTGCAGCAGCATTTACTACGCTCTGCTGTGCCTTTTGCTCTGCATCTGCTGTTGGCAACTTATTTTTGGTCAGTGAGCCGCTGCTTTTGCCGCTTACCCTTTCGACTGCTGATTCGCTGTCGTTGCTCCCATTTCTACCAAGCGAAAAGCAAGCACCCCCCTCCCCCCCCCCCCCCCCCCCCCCCCCCCCCCCCCCCCCCCCCCCCACCCATCTCCACTAAGCAGCGGCCTGCCTGCCTGTTCCTCTTTACCCTTCCAAAACATATCAAGTTAACGGTGCTGCGCGCAACACAGTCAACAGGCAATAACAGCAACAACTAAACTAATATACTTTTTCTTCTTCTCTTTTATTTTTTGACTGCTTTGCTTCCTAACCCCGCGCTCTCTTTGACTTTGTTACGTTGAATTGTTGCTGTACGCTTTCTGGTTTTGGTTTTTATAAAGCTTTGTAGCGCGCGATTTGTTAGCGCTGCTTCTTCAGCGTTTCGCCGTTTTGTATTATGTTATGTTAATACCCTGCAATAAGCGCAAAGGGCATATAACAAAGTGTGTGTTGAGAGCGACACATGTGTATTTAATTGTTGCACAAAATATTTTCTATTAAATTAAATGATGACATATATGGAAATAAATATATAAATAATTAAATATATGTATATGTTATATATATATATATATATGAAGATATATTTCACATTCAGGGGCATATGCTAGTCGTGCCTGCTTCTGTATTTTGATTTATTTTATTTCGTTTTTGTACAGATTCCTACGTACAATGTACTTTCGCTTTCATTTTTTTTTCGCGCGCCCCTTGCGCCGCCAACTCCGTCAAGCGCCTCCCCCCCTCCCCCCCTGCACCTTGCTCGTGCCATTCTTGTCCGTTATTGAGTGCGTGCGTGTATGTATGCGTGTGTGTGTGCGTGCGTTGAGCTTCGTGTGCATGTGTGCATGCGTGTGAGTGTCTTTGTGTTTGTTTGTTGCTCTTTTCTGCTTTAATAGTGAGCATTGACATGCTGAGCTGCGCATTTTAATGCGTTGCCGTCGTTCCACTCTTTTTTTTTCTGTTGGCTTTGTCTTCTACCTTTGCTGCTTTAATTCACATTTGTATTTTGTGTTTTTTTTTGTTGCTTCTTCAAATGCTTTTGGCACTATGTGCAGCCAAAAGGGGGTGGGGGAGGGGAGGGGGTTGGGGCGTGTCAAGCGCTTTTATTGAAAGAGAAATTAGCTGAAATTCACCTCCTCGTCCCGCTGGACAACAGCGGCGTCTGTTGCCTGTTTTAACTGGCTCCAAGCGGCGCTCAGTTGGCCCAGTTAATTAAAGTGCGATACGCACACACACACACACACACTCACACGCACACTGTTTGACACTGTTGACTTTCAGCGGGGGGGCAGCAGCGGGGTGGCGCTTGTAATATGGGGCAGGGTTTTTTGTTTTTGTTTTTCATCTTCCTTTAACAATTTTTGGCTTTGAAAGAGCTTTTGCTGGCGATGAGTCATCGATAGGCGATAAACGCCCTTAATTGCCACGCCCACATTTCGATAGTATATGTGCTTGCGATAGACAGGGCTTATGCGTTTATCGATAATGCACGATATAAACGAGTTGTGCAGCAGCATCTACTGTTAGTTGATTGATTTGGTAATAAAAAAAAAAAAGTTATCGATAGCTGATCGATCATTAGCTCGTTAATGGACTTTCGAGACGTTTATGTAACTGAGATCGGATCAAAATGAATGCCAATTGTGATATATTATTGAAATTTCTTAATAATAATATATTGATGTGAGCTGTGAGGTGATAAATATGCTAACGATAGATTATTGCAATGTTATCGGAATACAGCTCGTATATAGAGCGGTATAGAAAGTTTGACTTGAAACATTTACTAATGTATTTATCGATATATTATGAAAATAGTGTTATCGATAGACGATGAAAATGTGCTATCGATAAACATGAGGAGTGTTATCGAAATGTAGTTACATGCTGCACAACTAACCTATCGATATATTTTGAAAATATTGTTATCGATATACGATGAAAGTGTGTTATCGATAAGCTTAGGGATTGTTATCGATATTAAGATTAGTTATTGCAACGAATGTTATCGATGCTCGTAATCGTTAACTAATTACGCACTTTTACACACGCACACACACACACGCGCACGCACACTCGCATGTGTGACGTATGTGTGCGTTTGATTGTCGCACAGGTTTTTCTCGTATTTACCTTATATACCGTTTTGCCAATGCCTTTTCACAAAACTCAACTAACTTTCCCCATCACTTTCTCTCTCTCTCTCTCTTTCTCTTTGGCTCTCTCACAGAACCGAAAACAGCAGCACGGAATTGGCGCGTGAGAACCTCTTCCAGCCGAACATGGACGATGCCAAGCCGCTGAACAACAACAACAACAACAACAACAACAACAACAACAAATCAACGTACGGCGATGTCAACGGCGCACGCACAATTTGCTCGATTGAGAACCATCAATCGGCGCAGCTAATGCGTCACGCTGGTGCCACGCCCAGCCCAAATGGCAACGGTGGGTTAACCAGCTCCTCCTCCTCCTCATCCTCCAGCTCCTCCTCCGCCTCCGCCTCGATTGTGCCCGTTTCTGCCGCAGCCGCCGCCGCAGCCGCCGCTGTTGCGGCACGCAAACGTCAACTGTCGAACAGTAATCTGGTTAACGATCTGGAGATACTCGATCGCGAGCTGAGCGCAATAAATGCACCGATGCCGCTTATCGATCCGGAGATAACACAAGGTGCCGAACAGCTGGAACGTGCGGCACTCTCGGCGTCAAGGAAGCGTTTGCGCAGCAACAGCGAGGACGAGAGCGATCGCTTGGTGCGCGAGGCGCTCTCACAGTTCTATATACCGCCGCAGCGTCTCATATCGGCCATCGAGGATTGTCCCTTGGATGTTGTGGGTCTCAGCGTTGGCGAGCAGCAGAGCTGCAGCGGCAGCGGCAGCAGCAGCAGCAAACGGATCAAGCTGAGCGGCAGCTGCAGCGCCAGCACAGGCACAGCTGATCACTTGGAGCTGGTCAATTTCGATATGAATCAGAATCAAAAGGACTTCGAGGTCATCATGGATGCACTGCGTCTGGGCACACCGACGCCGCCCAGCAGCGGCAGCGATTCGTGCGGCCAGGCGGCCATGATGAGCGAATCGGCGAGCGTGTTTCACAATCTGGTTGTCACCTCGCTCGAGACATGAAAGTATCAGTAATGCGGGTCACATCAGTGGGCGGGCGGTTGGTCGGTGGGGTTGGGCACAGGTGGCTCTACCCCCCTTCCCCTACCCGCCCCATAAACCCCTTCAAAAGAAATCGATATGTATGAGAACGCATTCACAGGAACAAACCACAAATTGGCCTAAAAGCAACAACAACAACAACAACAACAACAACAACAAACACAAACAAAACAACATTTACAATTAGACAAGACAAAGAGCAAAGAGTTTTTATAGGTTTAGTTCAGCCGTAATTAAACTAAGACTTAAAATTAAGCTATAAACTAAGCTCCCAATAACACGACGCGTGTTTGGGTCTATAAAGCGCGGGCGGACGGCGTGAGGGGGGGGGTGGGGTGGGGTGGGGTGGGGTGTGGGGTTATGGTAGGGCAGCAACAAGTCGGTGTGTTGTCACACGTCGTTTCAGTATTACAGCATATTTGAATGCGCCGACTTGGCCAACACCAGCCGGGCCTGTTGGCCTGTTGGCCTGTTAGGGTCTGCCAATAAAACGTCTCGCAAATTTGTACAAACTTTTGTTTAAATGACAGTTTGTTTGTTTTTTTTAGGTTAAGTCGCAGGAAGAGTAAAAAGAAGTACTCACACACACACACACACACACACACACACACACACACACACACACACACACACACACACACACACACACACACACACACACACACACACACACACACACACACACACAACCACATACAACAAAAATCAAAGAATTTGTAGTCAAAAAGCAAAAAGAAAATATCAAATCTTCAAACAAGCTGAGTGATATGACAGCTGAGCAGAGAGAGAAAGAGAGAGAGGGAGCGGGAGAGAGGGAGAGAGTTGGGGCTAGGGTAAGGCGTCAATTTTTGCCCGCAAACAAAACAAAAACAAACAAACAACAACAACAACAAAATATAATAATAACCTAAACAAATGAAAGTACCAACAAATTCCTTAAGTACAATTGTGCCAGCTACTAAACAATTAAGGGCTAAAACGACTTGCGAATTATAAGCAACGCGATTCAATGCTCAGCTCCACACTCACACACACACGCGCACTCACACGCACACATTCCAGCATTTCAGAAAGAGAACAAATACTCGCTGAGCATTAATTCGTGCGTTTATTTTTGCAGGCACAGTCCAACGGTTCCACAAAGGCACAATTTTTTTTTAGTTCCGGCAAAAATTGACTGCTTCAAAAACAAAACAAAAAAAAAAAGAGAGGAAAAAAATGAAATAGTTCCTGCCGCTTTACCCAGGCAACGAATTTCGTTAGCGTTTATTTTTTATTTTTACAGCGCTTTGTTTATTAAAAAAAAATAACTGAAAAAATCAAAAAACAAAAAAAAAAAGATTTCGTTCTCCTAGTCACAAAAAAAAACTAAAAAAAAGAAAAAAAAAACACGAAAGAGAACGAAAAAGCAGTTATAGGCGTCGTCCAGCCCAATGCATTCCACTCAAAACAGTCAAAATACCACAAAACCACTCAAAATCATATTCGAAAACACAAGCAAGAGAGAAAAACACTCGAAATTGCAGGCCAGCGATTAACGGTAAAACGACACACAATACAACGGTACGGTAACTGGACTGTGGGTGGGGACAACATTGGCAGCAGCAGCGGCAGGGCTTGCTCTGCCGAACGTTGGTCACACTTGAGTTGGCTATTGGCTGTTTGCCAAACGGTCACACTGTTTCGCGCTTAACGTTTGCAGCGCTGACGTGCACGGGTTGGGCGGGGGCATGGTCAGGATAACGGTTTCATTTTCCATTTTATAAAAAAAAAAGAGAACAAAAATGTTTTCATTTAATTATTTTGCTAAACTTTCAAAGAATTACAAAAAGAAACAACAACAAACTCTGTGCACAAGAAACAACAACAACAACAACAACAACAAAAAGAACAACAAGAAATTGTAAACAAAACGTGAAATGGATTATTAAATAGCAATTTAAATATACAAAAAGTGCAATTAGAATTTTTTAAAATATTGACGCAACAAAAGCAAAACAAAAACAAATCAAAAGTGCATTCAAAAGTAAATGGCAAGCAAATAAGTATTTAACTTTTAAACAGTAATTGGGCAAGCAACAACAAACAAAAAGCGAAAAAACAAAACAACAAAAAGAATCAATTTTTTTCTTCGAAAAATAAAAATGGCTGTGATAGAAATTTAAGTTTTTGCTTAAGAGTTATTCGAACATAAGAGAAAAAATGAAAACAAAAACAAAAACAAATGATCTATATAGATAACGTACATGCACATGCATGCACACACATACATACATGCATACATATGTATATGTATATATGTGTGTGTACATGCATACATATTGAGATAATGAAGAGCATTTAGTATTAGTGCTGCGAGAGCGCGGCGCCAGCGTTGAGCGCAGCTGAAGGAGAGAGAGAGTGAGCGTGAGAGAGTGTCGGTCGCTTGCGCTCTTTTTTGCATTGCATTTGGCAGCTCGCTCGCAGCTTACATTGAGTTTAGTTCGCATTTCTGCATGAAAACCGTTAGCTTTCGTTTTTGTTGCTTTTTTTTCTGTGTGTGTTTCGTTTTGTTTTCATTTTCAGTTGCAGAGCCAAAAAAAAAAGAATTAAGAAAAAAAAAACGCCTCAAAAAAAAAAGAAATTTATATATATATACATATATACATATAAGAAACAAAAAGAATGCTTAAAACAACAACAGCAAATTGTTGCAATTACCAAGTAAATATATATTAATATATAATTAATTGTATTGTTTATAAATACTTTGGCGGCGCGACGTTCCAAAGAATGCGGCGGCAGTTCCAGCAGCCAGTTTGCTAGGCCCTAGTTATACATATACCTATACATATATATATATATATATATATATATATATAACAATATATACATCGTACGATTTATGAATATTATTTTCTAGCACTGTTTAAATTGCCAAAAGAAGAGAAGAGGAAAAGAAAAAAAATGGAGAATATTAAAAGAAAAGTTGAAATGAATATATGGCAAAAATCGAAGCGCATAGTCCTAAGTAAACCTTAACTTGTTACCATCTGGAATACACAACATTTGTTTATGCCCTAACTTTAAGTTTTTCTTTTTTTGTATTTTCTTTTCCAATTTTTTTTTTTGTGTTTAACTAGACAAATTTTAGATGTACTTTATGATAGCATATATGTTTATGTTAATGACAATTATTTCCATTTTAGTTAATATTTCTACTAAGCGTTACGGAGCTACAAAAATAAATTATATTATCCATATATATACATATATATGCATATATATAATAATATATAGAAAATCGAATTCTTTTGATTTGCGTGTTTTCATTTTTTAGCATTGGTATTTTCTTTTATTTTCCTTTATTTTTTTCCTGTTTTCTCCATCTGAACTTGGCTCGAACCCAATGTCTAGAGATTGCGGAATTTATCGATTTCTGTTCGTGGAAATCGTTTCAACAAGCGCTTTTTATGTGTTATCGATAAATGTGTTATCGATTAAGTCCGATACATTTGTGTTGTCGCCTATCGCAAACGCAACATCGATAGATTTTCATTCAAAACCAAACCAAATTAAACAAATATCGATTGTCGATAAATAATTATAGTAAATAACTGCAATTTATCGATATATGTATATGTGACCAGGCCAGACCAAAACCAAGCCCATGTAATACCATAATATATATATATACATATAAGATATATAGTCTTATTATGGAACTTGTCCAAAATCTTTGCTTCGAGCATAATAAGTGCATGCGTAAGCGCGGCGCTTGGCAACCTTGTATTTCGTATACCATGAGATCATCCAACTGCTAAAGATACCATTTGTATATATATATATGTATATACTCTTTTTTTTTGAGCGATTTGCTTAGCTGAACTTTTGCTGTGCGACCCAGCTCAGGGCTGAGTCGCATTTTGGGGGTCAAATGTGATTGAAAAACAACAACAAATTTATAAACAAACGGCAAGCAAGAAAGAGAGGCAGCTACTAAGAGAGAGAGAGAAAGAGAGCGAGCGAGCGAGAGAGCGTGATGAACTGTTCCGTTGACTGACTGCATTTCGCTATTTTGAATGCCAAATTTGAAAATTCCAAAGCTCGAATTTGTTTTTTTTTTTTTTTTGAACAAAGCAGAAGGGAGCGAGGGGCGCGCTGGGAGGGGACGTGTCGCTGTTTCGTGGCCAATGCCGCTGCCGTTCAACGACTCTCGATGAGCTTGAACCCTCTTCGACACGAATTCAACAGCCTCAAATACAAGAGCGTTAACAAAATACAACAACAACAAACAAATTGGTTTCAACAACAGAGTAGCTCGTTTTAATTTGGGCATCACCTGTTTTGTATACCCTGTACACGAGCAATGCTAGCAACGGGTGTTAGCGGTTAACGCAATTAAACGGCAAACAACTTTGTGAGCCACAGAATCGATTTTAATACAAGAACAAGTAGAAGAGAGAGAGAGAGAGAGAGAGAGAGAGAGAGAGAGAGAGTGGCCCAAATCCTCGTTCTATACGGAAGCAGGGAATGCGTGTTGAAGCACACGAATAAAGAACAGCAACAAGGGAGAGAGAGAGACGCCCAAACGAAAAGAGAGCAACAACAGCATGCATCAACTGCATCTCTCTCTCTCTCTCTCTCTGTCTGCTGCCATTCTAACTGTGCTCGCAACAAATGGAAGAGCAAGAAGAGCACGACTTCGCGCAGCTTATGAGCGTGATCCAAAGAGAGAAAGGATTTGAGCCTTTCTCTTGTATTTAATTGCTGCACGTTCAGCAGCTGTGCTCGCATACATGCGATATAATGATAGCAGAGAGGGAGAGAGCATTTATGCCTATCTCTTCTACTCAATTGCTGCACGCTCATTCAGCTGTGCGAAGTCGTGTCCTTCTTGTTCTTCTATTTACGTTTGCTGCAAATGCACGTTGTGAGCACAGTTAGAATTGTAGAGAGCGAGAAAGGCGTGCGCGTCTCTGTCTCTCTCGTCTATTCAATTTGCCGTACGTTGTCGTTGCTCTCGTTACGTTTGCTTTAAGCCATGCGTATACAAATTCCTGCGAGAGATCAACTTGCGCTCTTCACGTGCTGTGTAAAGTCTTTATGAAGAAAACATCTTACAGAGAAAGAAACACATACAGGGTATTTGACAGTCTGGCACCTCTAAGTGCAGCTAGCTTGGTATTTCGGGTTCGAGCACAAGAAAAGAATGTCTACCAAAAAAAAAAAGAAGAATAACAATTCTATAAAAAGATAAGCTTCCACATAAGTTTCTTCCTTTTAAATACTTTGTAGAATTGTAAATTAAAATTGGTTTATTTATTTAAATTATATTTTTGCAAAAAAACTGTGCTGCATTTCTTTCAATATAGTTTTAAAACAAACTTACACACACACACACACACACACACACACACACACACTCGCACACACACAGACAGACAGACACACTCACACTAAGATAATACCTCTTAATCTATGGACCAGTTTTATGACATTTTCTCTGCGTAGACATTACTTGATTTATATTAAGTAAAAACCAAACTGAGAAATAAACCAATTGAATCATGAAATAAAGCACACACATTTATCGATATGCCGATAACGATATTGATATCGATAACGATAACTATATACTATACACGCTCGATTGTAGAACAAGTAACTATCGTTTTTTAACTTTGATGATTTATCTTTATGCTTAGAATATATCAAGCTATATACATATATGTATATATATACATATATGGATATATATATATATATATATACATATAAGAACAAGGAATATACATAACGATCGATATTTAAGGATACATAAGTGCTTTTTAATGAAATATATAGACCGCAAACGAGAATAATGAACAAAACAATATATTCATAAAGATTTGTAAAATAAAAAAAAAACAAAAAAAAAAACATAAAAAAAAATTAACAAAAAGTAAAACACAAAAAAAGCAAAATAAGGCAACAAGGAAAAACTTACACACACATGTATATATACAAACTATATATACAACAGACCGGAACATATATACACCATATAGACATATATATATATATATATATATATATATATATATAATTGTACGTATTTATTATGAGTTGCTTTTTAGTGTGATAATTCTTAGTAAAACGAACATAAGAAAATTTGCAAAATAAAATTGATAAGAAAGAAAAAAAGAAGAAGAAATCTGGCGTGCGTTTATTTCGGATATGGGCTTTATCTATGTATGAGCATTACCTGGAGAACATTTTTTACACAATTTTTTGTGTTTTAATATTTGTATTGCTTTTTATTTTTCGAAGATCTCAATCAAAATTGATTGAACATGAACATATATCTCGGTGTGTTCTAGACTCGGATCGGCCCACTATATATCATATAGAAGTAATCGGTCTAAAAGTAGCTTTTGGTATAAAACAGTTTTGTTTATCAAGATATCAGACTTAAGCCCGAAAGCATAGCAAGATCGGAGAACTATATCATATAGCTAACATAGGAATGATCGGTCCAATATTCCAATATATATATATATTCGTATATGCTCACATGTCACAAGCGCATCAAATCGGAGACATATCGCAGATATTTGTACTTTCTCGTTCTTTTTTTTTGTCGGTAAGTTTATATAGCTTTAATATATTTTCCGATCTGCAATCGTGAGAGTTCTTGGACATAGCTTATGGAAATAAAAGTCATAAGATATATGCTAGCATTTAATTAAATTTTTTAAAATACCAAAAAACAGAGAAAACTCTCGATAAAATCACAAATTTGAGCCTCACACTTATCTGGAATATATAAAGATAAATGTTATTCAGTTAAGGGCCGCAACTATATACATATATGGGAAATACTTACGAAAAGCTAATGTTGTTGTTGTTGTAGTTGGGGGCGTGGCTGGGGGCATTTGTCTTATCGTGCAGACCCAAATCGGCCTCGTAGAGTATGCGATTGAACTCGAACTGAATCGCATTGCGCGTATGCATCGAATACTTCTTCAGCTTGCACTCCAGATACTTGGCATATAGCTTGATATCATCGTCATCCGAATTGGGATCGGGCCGCGTTGGACTCTCGGCGCCGCTCGATTGCTGTCGATCATCGTTATGCGGATTCAGATTCGATGGCGGATTCAGATTCGCTGGCGGATTCAGATTCGATGGCGGATTCGTGGTCAGATGGATCGCATTGCCGATGCGAGCGCCATCCTCGACGATGATCAGACGTTTCGGTGGCTCGAATTCGGCGCGAAACTCTTGGAATGCCGATTGGAAGGGTCGCTTGTTTGGCTCGGCCAGAATGAACTCTCTGTCGCTGCCGTCGAGATCGTTCGATAGCGAATTGTCGCTATTTTCGGAATTGTCGCAAGTGCTGGATTTCAAATCCGACTGTAAAGACAAGAAATATAACAACAAATTGCTGAATGAATTCTCTCTCTCGCTCTCTCTCTCTCTCTCTCGCCCTCGCTCTTTTGTGCTACACTGTAAACAAATGTTTTGTCAACAAAACTTCGGGAACTAAAAAGACAAGTAAATCGCATTTGAATTAAACGGGATATTTCCCGTTTTCCAGCTTCATTCTTCCCATGTCAAATCAAGAGTTTGTCCAAAATATAAGAGAACGTAAGCTAATGTTGTATGCATTTATTATTTAATTTGTTTATGATTTAGTTTTTCAGTTAAATTTCGTATGATTATACGTTTATGAATTCAATTTGAATTACTTTTTATGTGATTTAATTTTCAAATACATTTTTTAGCATTTCATTTTGAATTAAATTTGTTTTGATTTAAATTTGAATTTAATTTTTGAAATGAAATACATATGAAATTGAATGGAAACCCAAATTTTTTACTGTGTACTATGTAATTCGACAAACTGATTGTATATGTACATATCGTATACATACATGTATTCCCAAAGCTGATAAGATTATGTGCATAAATATACGTGGGAGAAGAAATATCCACTCGGGGATTACTTTTAAACTCCAAAATCGCATTAATTTTACTTTAGAGCGCGCTCGATGCATGCAAAACGAAGCACACACACACACACACACACACACACAGGTGTTTCAGTGTGTGTGTGTGTGTGTACTACATACATATGTATATTTTCGTTTCGATGGTAAATAGAATTATTTCTCCAAACAAAAATGTATAGGATTTACTTTAATTTGAATGCGTAGAAAAGGCCATAGAAAGAAAAGGGCATAGATTATCGCAATTGACGGGATTTTAAGGGAGCGAGGGTGTACTGTATGCACATACATATGTGTACATGTATATGTATGCATAACATGTTTACATTATGAACGTAACACACACACAGCTGTAAAATGCGATCATACTGAAGTTGAGCTTAGCTTTCATTTGTACAGACGCCTCTCTTACGCTCACCGTGCTCTCTCACGGCTCGCCCGCTCTCTCTCTCTTGCTTTTCTTAAGCACGGTTGCCACATGTGTACATATACATATGCATATGTGTGTGTGTGTTATACTTCTTCTTGTACTTATAAAAAAAAAGATGAAGCGCTTTCATTGAATTTGTTAGATTCACTTCGAGTTAGTTATAGAGCATACATATGTATGTATGTATGTATGTATTTATATCAAGTGTGGGTTGCGCCGCTTACCTTTGGCTGGCAGTCTTTTTTGTCGGCTTTGCCTGGATTGAGCAGAAAGGACATGTGACTGGCCCACCAACGGGGATTGGCAACACCCTTGCGATACTGCGATCTAAAGACGGCAATTAAGGAATTCATTTTTCTCTTAACATCCTCCACGCTCGTTTGCATCACGTTCGCCATCGCCTTCCACGCATCGTATCTGGCATTGCGATGCATGAAGCCGCGATTTTCTGGATTCCATAGCACATTCTGTGCCTCATACGCCTTGATCAGTTTCACTGTGTTCTCTTCATCCCACACAATTTGCGGCGCTTGTTTGGTTTCTCCTTTCATCTTTACATCCATCCAAAATCAGACTATTGTTGTTGTTTAGCTTAAGATTGTGTTTTTTTTTTTTTTTTTTCTTTTTGAAAATAGTTTCCACAATGGAAGCAACAGACAGAAGCAGCAACAACCAGCCGTTTCAAGCAGAGTACAATAACTGAAACGCAACACAGACACACACATCTTTGCCGGGGTTGTTTCTCTGTGTCGCATACTCGTCAACTCGTCAAGCGACTGAGAGCCAAATAGTGCGCACACATAAGAGCGCCGCCTTAGGTCGTGTGCTGCGCTCGTTTGTACAATGAATACGCTGCTGAGTGCGAACAAAGAGAGACGACAACGACGCATTACACCACGATTGGGAGAGCCACAGGTTATGTAAAGAATTCTGTTCTCACTACATTGTGACGTCACAATAACAGAAATAAGAGCGTAGCGCGTTGCATGAAATCAAAACAATACACCACGATTGGCAGAGCCACAGGTTATGCAAGGAATTCTGTTCTCAATGCATTGTGACGTCACAATAGTAGAACTTTGTGCGTAGCGCGTTGTATAAAGTTAAAACAATTTTCACGATAAATTCCATTTTGAAGCTCCTCTAAAGGAGTATAATAATATATATATTAAATATCCTGGGAACAAAACTATAAATAGCATATTTGTTTTTCAGCATTTGAAACAAAGCGCCACACGCGCGCGCCATTTGACAAGGCTGTGACGTCACAATGCAAAGAAGCCAGTACTCCTTGCATCAACAGTGGCTCTCTCAATTTCATAAGCACACGAACAAAGCATAGCATTGAAGAGTGTATGAGTGCGCGCCGGAGAGAGCGCTTACTTATCTGCCAGCCATGGTTGTGACTGCCTGACCTGACCCCGCCAACTCAGGCATGACGAGACTTAATGACGCTGTGCGCAGTGGCTGTGCTTTATGATTGAGCAAAGAGAGCAGGTGACGGCTGGCAGTCATTGAGCAATAAGTCAAAGAGATGAAAAGTCACTGTCAGCTTTTATTAACGTCTTACTTACTTGTTCTTTGGCGCATTGGGTTCGTCTGGAAACGCAATATGAAAAGCAAAAACAACAACTGACTTGCACAACAACAGCAGATCGGGAACAACAACAATGAGTAAGAAGAGAGTGAATTAGCTAAGATCAAAGGTCGTAGTCCGAACCAAAAAGAAACAGCAAGCAGTGAACTGCTTTTTTTTCGGCTGCTGCTTTCTTTGTCACGTTCTTTTTTTTGTTGTTGTTGTTCTAAAGCTGCTGAGATGAGCTTCGGGCAGGCTAGTGCAATTTAGTTTGCATGTATGTGTGTATGTACGTGTGCATTGGTGTCAGTAACGGTTTTGTTGTGTTTGCAATTCCGCTCTCGAAGATAAATTCACTTCAAAGAGAGCTTTTGATCCAATCGGCCTCTCTGTCTATTTATTGGCCAATCACAAAGCAGTTTAGTCAGTGCGAGAGCGAAAGAGTAATCTGTTGCTGTAGAAAATACTCTCTCGATATCAGATACATAACTTTGTATCTTTTGAATCCCTTTGCGGTTCAATATATCAAATAAGCAAATATTTTATGTTTCGTCAAGAGTTTTATTTCGTTATCATATGTTTTTCTCCTAATATGCTGCGCCTTGATTGCAAGGAGCTGGCTTAAATACGCTGTTGCAGCTGAACAGGTAGCTGGTAGGACAAGCAGGTGCAGGAATTTTAGATCCGCCGTAGCCAGCTGCGTGACCAGATGCGTGTCCATATCCTGTACTATGCGTTGATGTCAACATGGGACTAAACATCCGCGCGGAATAGCCAGAGCTTTTAGGTGCTGAATACGCGGCAGCCGGTGGAGCTGCATAGCTGGGTGCAGCTTGCGCTGAATACACAGGTGCTTTGGGCGCTGAATAGCTAACAGCCGAATATACAGGAGCCTTAGGCGCTGAATAACTTGTTGCAGCAGGCGCTGAATAACCATGAGCAGCAGGAGCTGCATATACAGGAGCCTTAGGTGCCGAATAGCTCGGAGCAGGTGCTGAATAGCTCGGAGCAGCGGGTGCTGAGTAACTTGAAGCAGCGGGTGCTGAATAGCTTGGAGCTGGTGCTGAGTAGCTTGGAGAGGCTGGTGCTGAATAGCTTGGACCAGCAGGAGCTGAATATGCAGGAGCCTTGGGTGCTGAATAGCTTGGAGCAGCGGGTGCTGAGTAACTTGAAGCAGCTGGTGCTGAGTAGCTTGGAGAGGCTGGTGCTGAATAGCTTGGTGCAGCAGGTGCTGAGTAACTTGGAGAGGCTGGAGCTGAATATACAGGAGCTTTGGGTGCTGAATAGCTTGGTGCAGCGGGTGCTGAGAAACTTGAAGCTGCTGGAGCTGAGTAACTTGAAGCAGCTGGTGCTGAATAGCTTGGAGAAGCAGGTGCAGAGTAGCTTGGTCCAGCGGGTGCTGAATAGCTTGAAGCAGGTGCTGAGTAACTTGGAGAAGCAGGAGCTGAATATACAGGAGCTTTGGGTGCTGAATAACTTGGTGCAGCGGGTGCTGAGTAACTTGGAGAGGCTGGTGCTGAATAGCTTGGAGAAGCAGGTGCTGAGTAACTTGGAGGGGCTGGTGCTGAATAGCTTGGACCAGCAGGAGCTGAATATGTAGGAGCCTTGGGTGCCGAGTAACTTGGAGCTGACGGTGCTGAATAGCTTGGAGAAGCAGGTGCTGAGTAACTTGGTCCGACGGGTGCCGAATAGCTCGGGGCAGCGGGTGCTGAGTAACTTGGAGCGGCCGGTGCTGAATAGCTTGGTGCAGCAGGTGCGAAATAGCTTGGACCAGCAGGAGCTGAATATGCAGGAGCCTTGGGTGCAGAATAGCTCGGAGCAGCTGGCGCGGAATAACTCGGGGCAGCATTCGCTGAGTAGCTCGGTGCAGCGGGTGCTGAATAGCTTGAGTAACTCGGTGGGGCTGGTGCTGAATAGCTTGGAGCGGCTGGTGCTGAATATGCGGGAGCCTTTGGCGCTGAATAGGTTGATGGCAAGTTGTAGTTAATTGGCGGTCCGTAGGCCTGCAGCGGAATAGCGTGTGATGAGCGCGAGAAACGATCATCTAGGTTATCCTTCGGGATGTTGAAGTCCTCGAGCTGCTCATTGCTGGCTGCAATATGCGCCGGACGCAGTGCCACCAGGCAGCCGATGGCCAGAATCGTTAAGAGGTGCGCACCGTACATGCTCGGCTATCGATCTGTTTGTGACAATCAACTGAAGTCGGTTGGCAAAATCTTTTATGAGCTCGGAAAATCCAGATCAGCAAAAAAGCCAAACGGAATTTCGCAAGTGAAAATGTTGCGGTATTTGGTTGATTTTCGGTTGAATCAATTAATTGTCATGATATACATAAAAGTATATATATATATATAGTATATATATATATATATATGTATGTATGTAAAGGTTATATTTTTTGTTCGATTGAGTTGGCGTTGGTCTGTTGAAATCGCAGGTGTGTTCTACTTTTTGTGAACCCAAATAAAGTGGCCCTTGTGAGTGCACCAGACACATTGATACACTGCCACAGAGGGTATATGCGCTTGCATATCCAAAAACCGAAAGCTAGTCGAGTCTCCAAAGTGCAAGGGTGTGCAGTAGTGTGGAATACCTTTTTGTTGAGTTTAGAGGTATGGTAATAATATATTTTGACATATGTCAGCATGTTGAGCTGGACGTTTTGTGGGTTGAATATTTGTAATTATTGAAATCGATGCTGATTAAGCAGTATGTCAAGCATGTGGCACAGATAAATCGTTATTAACTTAAGTGTATAAGCTGAAGAAATGCGTGCATATGCTATTTATTTATTTGACTGAACTTTAAAATATGCTCAGCTTATCGGTTTATTCTATATTTCTATATTTTTACATTTATAGCAGCTAATTAAAAGAAAATAAGATTATTGATTTAATTACTTTTAAAGCAACGCGGGAAATTTGAAATGCAAATAACATTTGCGCTAATCTATGTTAGTTAACAGTGCAGCTGTGCTGTTAATTAGCGCCATCTGTCTCTTTTTGCATTATGCCGGCAACAGCTGTGCATATGATTTAATCGATATTTTACATTCAATTATCGACATCTGGCGTTTACTTCCAAATCAACACGTCAACGTTTTCTTCTTCTTCTACGTTGGCCCCCAACACCTGAACGGCGGCGGCTATTTAGCTGGGCTAGCGACATTTTATTCATATTATTTGGCAAGCTTTTGTTGAAATAAAACGTAAACAACTGAGTTTTATTCTCAATAATAATAGCTGCAGGCATTGGCCGCAAACAACGAATTAACGAATCAAAAACAAAAACGTAAGTACAACAAATTTGCTCGGAAGGGGGTGACGGGGGAAATTGCAGCAAATCTTCAGCTCACCAGCTGCTTGCGTTGGCAGAAAACGTATTGTGCTCAGAACAAGGAAGCGCGACACGCTTGACGAGAGGTTATTGCTCTCGTGCTTAACTGACATTTTCTTTTTGTATATACATATATATATACATATATATATATAGAGAGAGACTCTGCAATATGGTGTGTACCCAAAAACGCAGCAGGATGAGAGCCGGCGGCTACCAGACGCTGTCGCTGTCGCTGCTGCTGGTGGTGTGCATCATGGCATTCCATATGCCCGGCAGCGATGGAGCCGCTGTCATGTCCGTTGATCTGGGCAGTGAATGGATGAAAGTGGGCGTCGTATCGCCCGGTGTGCCAATGGAAATCGCTCTGAACCGCGAGTCCAAGCGCAAAACGCCGGCCATACTTGCGTTCCGGGATAATACGCGCACCTTTGGCGAGGATGCCCAAACAATTGGCATACGCGAACCGTCGGCTGCATATGGCTATCTGCTCGATTTGCTGGGCAAGACCATCGATAATCCCATTGTTGATCTGTACAGGTGAGTGTCCAGCCGCATGTGTATGTGTGTTTGAGCGTGTGTATGTGTGTGTGTGTGGCAGCTTGTACGTTTGTGGGCCACGTCATGTTAAATTGGGCAGTGATATGTTAATGTTAACAGCTGCTTTCGCAGTGATATTTAAATAAAAATGTTAATTTTACATTCAACTGTAATTGGAAATATTCCATGTTTCTTACGAAATTTGTAACACATTAAATTAAATTAAATGAAGCGAAGCGAACTGCTTTAAGTTAAGGTGGCCCACAATAATTGGGCTTCTTTTTGACTTAATCGATTTTTTAAAATTGAGCCGCACTGCTCGGAAAAGTGCGGGAAAGTACTTTCCTCCCTTTCTTTAATTGCTGTAATTAATGAATAATTGAATTTACAGACAACGCTTTCCTTACTATACCATTGTCGGCGACAAGGAGCGCAATACGGTTGTGTTTAAGAAGAGCGACACCGAGGAGTTCAGCGTGGAGGAGCTCATCGCCCAAATGCTGGGCAAGGCCAAGGAGTTTGCACAGGAATCAACACAGCAGGTGATCACCGAATGTGTGCTAACGGTGCCCGGCTACTTTGGTCAGGCGGAGCGAGAGGCTCTCCTTGTGGCAGCCCAATTGGCCAATCTGAAGGTGCTGCAGCTGATCAACGACTATGCGGCCGTAGCGCTCAATTATGGCGTGTTCCATCGTGGCGAGCTGAACGAGACGGCACAGTATTTCCTCTTCTATGATATGGGCGCCTACAAGACATCCGCAGCGGTGGTTAGCTATCAGCTGGTCAAGGACAAGCAGACCAAGGAGACAAATCCGGTGGTGCAGGTGCTGGGCGTTGGCTATGATCGGACATTGGGCGGCCTGGAGATACAGCTGCGACTGCGCGATTATCTGGCCAAGGAGTTCAATGCGCTGAAGAAGACCAAAACGGATGTCACCAGCAGCCCACGGGCGCTGGCCAAGCTGTTCAAGGAGGCGGGTCGTTTGAAGAATGTGCTATCGGCCAATAATGATCATTATGCTCAGATCGAGAATCTGCTGGAGGATCATGACTTTAAGCTGCAGGTGACGCGCGAGAAGTTGGAGGAGCTGTGCGCCGATATATGGCCACGCACCACCAAGCCGCTGGAAGATGCACTGGCCACATCCAATCTGTCGCTGGATGTGATCAATCAGGTTATACTCTTTGGCGGCGGCACTCGGGTGCCACGTGTCCAGGAGACCATCAAGCAGCTGATCAAACAGGAGCTCGGCAAAAATCTCAATGCCGATGAATCGGCGACCATGGGCGCCGTCTACAAGGCAGCCGACCTGTCCACCGGCTTCAAGGTGAAGAAGTTTATCGTCAAGGATGCGGTGCTGTTCCCGCTGCAAGTGGCATTCGAGCGTGATCCCGGCGATGGTGCTGCCGTTAAGCAGGTGAAGCGCGCCCTGTTCGCCCTAATGAATCCCTATCCACAGAAGAAGGTCATCACCTTTAACAAGCACACGGATGACTTTGAGTTCTATGTCAACTATGGGGATTTGGAGCGTTACAGCAAGGAGGAGATCGCGGCCATTGGCAGCCTGAATATAACAAGTGTACAATTGCAAAAGGTCAAGGAACTGTTGGAGAAATCGAAAAAGGATATGGTCGACAATAAGGGCATCAAGGCGTACTTCTATCTGGATGATTCCGGCATTTTCCGTTGCACCGGCGTCGAGTACGTTTACGAGAAGCAAAAGGTCGAGGAGGAACTGGACGAGGACAGCACCTTGGCCAAACTGGGCAGCACCATTAGCAAACTCTTCACCAAGGAGACGGAAAAGGCGGCCGGCGATGGCAGCGAAACGCCAACAAACGAACAACAGGAGGTCACCGAGGAGCCAAACGAGCCCAAGCCCGAAGATGACAGCACCAAGAAATCCGGCGACATCAACGATTCAGCCGCAAACAATAAAAACGACGATGAGACCAAACCGGAGGCCAAAAATGAGACCATCAAGCTAATAACCATCAAATCCCCCGTAGCGCACAAGACCCGGCTGCAGTTCACGCCGCCGTTGAGCGGCAGCGGCTATGAGGATGCCCTGGCCAAGCTGCAGGCCATCAACAAGGTCGAGGAGGAGCGTGTACGTTTGGAATCCGCTTTCAATGCGCTCGAATCGCACATCATTGAGGTGCAGCAGAAGCTGGAGGAGCAGCCCTATGCGGACTGTGCCACAGCCGAGGAGAAGAGCAAACTGTTGGCCGAGTGCAGCAAGCTGGCCGAATGGCTGTACGAGGATGTTGAGAATCCCAAGCCGGAGCTGTATGAGGAGAAATTGGCACAACTGAAGAAGCTATCGAATGTGTTCCTTGCCCGCCACTGGGAGCACGAGGAACGTCCGGATGCGATCAAGGCGCTAAAGGGCATGATCGATGGCGCTGAGAAATTCCTTGTCACTGCACGAAATCTCACCAAGGAGACCAATCCCGACAAGGATGTCTACACACAGGTGGAGATCGATACGCTCAGCAAGGTGATAAGCGACACGGGCTCATGGCTGAAAACAGAGGGCGCCGCCCAAAAGAAGCTCGCACGCAGTGCGGATGTACGTTTAACTGTCAAGGATATAACCGATAAAATGAGTCTGCTCGATCGCGAGGTCAAATATCTGGTGAACAAGATCAAGATCTGGAAGCCCAAGGTTAAGCCCGACAAGGAGAAGAAACCCAAAGAGACTGATGCTGGCGACGCTAGCGGCAGCGGCAGCGGTGACAGCAGCGACAATCCGGACAAGGCGCAAGCTGAGGCACCCAGCACCGAGAAGCAGCAGCAGCAGCCGGAGGAGAAGGAGGAGGAGAAGGTGAACGCCACGCCCACAGTTGAGACAAATACGCCACATGGCGAACTCTAAAGCATGACATCACTAGACTATCACCAGTAGGAGCAGGCGAAAGAGAGCGAGAGAGAGAGAGCTAGAGAGAGAGAGAGGGAGAGAATCAGAGCCAGACAGAACGCAGGACGAAATGAAAGTAGTAAGAAAAGTGGGCGGGGGGGACAAAATGTTGCGTAGAATGCATTTGGGCCCGGTCAGCCGGGTTGGATGAAGGATGACGGGTGGGGGGGACCTGTGAAATTGATTGATTTACGTGCTAGCGGGGAAAAGTTGGCTAATTTGGATCCGTAGCGCCCAAAGCATTTCGTGTACACATAAAGAAAAGAAAGAAAAAACAACAGCGTTCAATGTATTTTGTTTTTTATTTTTTTTTTTTTATTTTATTTAAATTATTATTTTGTTCCAACTAGCTAATGGCGGGGTTAAATTATGCTATCGTAAACTTAAATCTAAAACTAAAGAAATTTAATGAAATGTATAAATTCAATTTTCATTCCGTCGTGCTTTAAGTTCTTCATTCTATATGCCTGGATATATTATCTAAATAAATATAAATAAATAAAAAGACTTGAAGTACTCAAAACTCCCCCAACAAACCTATTATATTTAACCATATTTATGTGCTCCTCACACCCAAGACAAAAACTATTAGGTAATCTATCGTTAATTAACGGAACAAATACTGGGAAACAAGCTCAAAAATAAACAAATTTCAAAACACCCATATTAAAGCTGTACACATAAATGCATACAAAAAAACTGATTTCTATATACATTTATATATTTCTGGTTATGAGTAATTCAAATAATTTCAGAAGGGTATTCAAATTTCGAAACGCCCAAATTACCTAAATTCGAAACGCATCTGCTTAATCAACATTTGTAAATATGTCAAGGAAGCGGCACCAGCTGATGTTGATGTACAAAATTCCAATGCCTCATATCGATAACTACATATTTATCGAGCAGCAATGCATTTGCAGCACATATCGATATTTAATGCTAGTTCTGCTGTCATGTTTTGCATTTGAGAAATAATCACAGCATACTAAACAAATATTATTTGATTTTGAATGCGAATTGTGTATTCACACGATTTAAATCAAGAAAGGCAAATTTTCTCCGCGATATTTTGTTTGGTGTATGCACATTTTAGTGTATTTTCGATAAATGCATTTGGTCACACTGTTTAAGCAAGAAATATCGTCAGACGTTCGCGGAAGACGATGTACATAGATTATAATTCCGGAGACTTTTTACACGCCTACGTGATTGCCAAGTTTCGGGAGCATATTGTAGTTAAAGGCAATAATTCTAGTTTAAAATGTGCACGTCTTGGTTAACATATAGAACTCTCTAACTCCCAATAATTAAATTTTAAGCAACAAAAGCAATAACAAAAAAAAAAGAAAAAAAGAAGGCAATTCGCGTCCACACAAATACAAGTACAATAACTGCGAGACATTTTAGTCCATTTGCTACAAAAAATATGGCGAAGGCGAATTAGTGCAATCTTGGAAACTTTCATATGTACATACATAGTTAAAATTGATATATATTGTGTTCAGGTAAATGCCTGCGTCGTGTAAATGTATGAATGTGCCTTAATATACATATGTATGTTTGTGAGATTTCTCGTAATGTTTGGGAGTGTGCAATGAAAACATGTGTATGTATGTGTTGTACATGGTAAGCAATTGATTTTGCTCGCACGGAGATGGAAGAAAAAAATTTAATGAACACATTCAGCCCGTCGTTTCGATAGCACAACAGTGTGAATTTTTCTCAAAATAAATGCAATGGGGCGGAGTAACCGATTGGTAATATTCGTTTTTACATTTAACGTTTACGTTTACCTCGCATACATGCATATGTATGTAATTTCATACATACACACACACACATATATATGCATGTTGTGTGTGTTGGTGCAGAGTGCGAATTTCCATCTTTCGATAGCACGTAAGCGCACCGATAACTCTCGATTGTCATTGTTCCTCCGCTGACTGATTCTGTTGCGGCTGCTTTCGGCACGTACATACATTTGAATTACATACATCTCTCTCTCTATATATATATATATATATTTGTGTTGTGAGTCGCTTGCACGGCGACGGCGCCTGTCTGGCGAAAGTGATTTTTCAGTAAAATTTCGCAGCTTCAAGTCGACGGACGGAGTGGAGTGCAGCGCAGGTCGATCGGTCCGGTGGAGCCAAATTGACGATGTCGTAAAGGTGCCAAGCGGGCGTGCGATTGACTCCGTTGCTTTTTTGTTATTGTATCTGTGTGCGTGTGTGTGTGTGTATGTGTCTGTCTGTCCATGCATGTGTTATTGTTGACTTTTCAATTTTCTTTGCACTTGCCCGTATTGTTATTATTATTTTTTATTTGGCTATACACACTTAGAACGTATTGCGAACGGGTTCACTGCGTATATGCGTCTGTGTGCCGTCTGCATATATATATGTGTGTGTGTGTTTGTGTGAATGTGTGCGTGTGTGGTATACGCAAACAAAGGAGCTCAGCGTTTTCATCTCACTCTCTTTCTGTTTTGAATGTGTAAAGTGCAGGACAAGGTATATTGAATATAACAAAGTGCAGTATGGCGGCGACGACGCTAGCAGAGGCAAAAGTGAAAAGTCAATTTGCTGCATTTGTGTGTACACACAGGCACACATATTGTTGTGCATAAGTGCGTATATAGTATATGCACAATAAAAACACATTAAAAATGATTATAGTCTATTACCATTTCGTTGATATTCTGTATGTATATACATATAATATATATATATATGCATTTACATGTGTGTAAGTGTGCGTGTGTTTGTGCGTTTTTACATTGAACTGTTTTTAGCCAGTCAGTCCAGCAGCTGGGCAGGCAACACTGGACTCGAGCGCTCTCTTCGCTCTCTTACAGCTGCCCACTGTCGGCGTGAGCGTAAGCTTGAAATTGAGCACAGTGGCGCCCGAGGCGCCAAAAAATGAAAGCACCACATTCAAATTGTTATCTCAGACAGTTGTGCTTAAGCCCGCATACACATTGTAGGCATATGTACTTTGGCATGGAGAAAATCACTTTCATTCCACTATGCGCTGCCGCAGCTGTTCTTGGCAGCATCTTTTACAGACTTCTTTTGCCTGCCTTTGTACGCACACACACACGCAGAGAAGCGGTTGGCTTCAGTTCTTGAAACACATTTAATTCTCGAGTTTGTTGTTATTTTAATTTTTTTTTTGAAATGTTATTGCTTAAATAACTCTGCAGGTACTACAAGAGATAAAGTGAATTAGGTACGTTGCATTCAAGCAAGAGCAAGCAAAATATAAACGGAAAAGGAAAAACAAACAAAATTTGTTGGCCAAACAAATTTCAAATTTCAATTTTCTCAATTCCTTATCGTATATATATCTCGTATATAGAAGCTGAAGCTGACGCATCAAGTTTTAAACAAAATTTAAACAAAAAAGCAGCCGTGGTAAAAGTTGTATTTCGTTTCGAATGTTTCTTGTACCCGTTCGAAATAGTTTTGTGTTTGCTGATAAAAACAAAAGGTTTTTTTTTGTGTGTGTGTTTTTGTTGTTGTTTTTTCTCTAATTTTTTTTTTTTTTGTTTGCAACGCTTGCAAATGAAACACGTGCTCATATGGTTATCATCGTTTTGAATACGCAGAGTGAAGCCAATCAAAGGACCCCAGCAAAAAGTGAGAGAGGAGGACATTGCTCAAAGTCAAAGCATTAGCAGAACGAAGCGACGCCACAAAGCGGCATACGGAGAATACGGCAAAAGGAGAGCAAAAGCAAACGCAAAAGCAAAAGCGACGGGTCAAAAGTCAAGTGCATACTGTGCGGGGGGCAGTACTGAAGGAATATGCGCCCGTTGTAGAACCAACTGAAGAAGAAGAAGAAGAAGAATAGGAAGAAGCAGAAACAATAAGCAATATTATAATAATAGCAACTAGGAGCCAACAAATACCACAAAGAATAACGCATGCGTGGGTAGCCGAGGTCGACTCAAAGATGTTGATAATTTTTCTGCCTGACGCTGCTGTTGCTGCCTTAATGACAGTTTAATATCAACTACCTCCAACAAAAATAAAAGCAACAATAAAATTACATAAAAGAATTACACGTAAGAGCAGCAGCCTTTGCCTAGCTACACTCAGTGACGGCAAGACGAACGCCACCTACCGTCGACCGTACGCACAACACGATAGCGAGAGTCTGAGCAAGAGCCCCAAACGTCACAATAACATAAAAAAAAAAAACAAAAAAAAAAAGCAATACAAACAACGGCAAAACAAAAAACAAATAATATTCAAAACAAAGGCCAGCGAGACACCTAGACGCTTGCATTGCACATGTGCATGTGTGTGTCGGTGTGCGTGTGCTTGTGCGTGTTCGTGTCGGTGTCCGTGTCCGTGTGCGTGTCGGTGTTTGTGTGGTAGTAGTAGTAGTTCGTGGTGCTGTTACCCGTTCCCCTCCTGCTACCACCACCCATACACGAACCGGCAACTGGGGCTCCGGTGGGCGGCGGATCCGTGATTAACTGTTATCACGTTGCCTTGCCCGCCAATATGGCGTGCCTTAACACACTAAAGCAAGAAATCAAAACACTGGAGAAAATCTTTCCGAAGAACCACGAACGTTTTCAGATACTCAATTCCAGCGTTGATGAACTTTTGTGCAGGTTCATCGATAAGAATGGCAAACGTTACGACATACATGCTAACATAACGGTAAGTACCACACACAAACAAACAGTTATCTTTAAGCTTATATACATATATCTCACGATTGATTGATCCATGCTCAAACCAAATATTTAACTCTAGTTTTCATATGTGATGAAGCTTATATTAATTATATAAATTATATTAATTGTTGAATCTGTTAATGTAATGAAAACGTGTAGGAACGTTTGGAAAATGAAAAATTCAATCTTTCAAAGATTGCGCAAGAATGGCCGGGCAAAGCCGGATAGCACCCAGCCTATGCAATATTTCTTGTATTCCCCACACATGCATGCATACACATGCATATGCGCATGTATGTACATAGAGAAGTACCTGCCCCAATGCCGCTCTTCGGTTCGCAATTTCTGGTGTCCAATGATTAACCGTTAATTAATCAAATTTGTATACATACACGTAAACCAAAACCCGTTAAAAAACACCTTATGCGCTCTTCGATATACAAAAACATAATTATTCAGTTGTTTCTAAGACCAAATAACAGCCGTTTATTTACGTTCCAATTGCTGTTTGTATTGAATTCATATAAAAAAAATATATATAAAGAAAGCAAAAACTGTTAATGCAATCGTTTCGTTAAGAATTGTAAACACTATCAAATAACTGCCAACCCTCCCCCTCCACCCTCCCTGGCCAACTTGACGAAGCTCTTACTCTTTTAAGCGCAAGCAGTTCCTGTGAGAGCGAGAGAGTTCAGTTGCATGGGAAAATACTATGGCAAAAGACAACTAACTGCTAAGCTTGCTGATCTGCAGCTTTTACGGTAAAATTCCATTGGTTTATCCTCCAAGCTCTGCTCTCACTCTCTCTCGCTCTGTTGTTTTTTTTTTATTGCTGTTTACTGCGCCGTTTCGCTTAGCTTAGCTCAGCTGTTGCTGCCGCTGCTGCTGCTGCTGCCGCTGCTGCTGCTGCCGCTGCTGCTGCTGTGCGTAATAAACGAAAATTTGCCTCTCTCTTCATTTTTTTGTTTCAACTTTTCGCATCTCTCTTTTTGCGTGGTTCTTATAAATAATGTCGCAAAGGATTTTAACACAAATTGTTCTTGCTTTAAAGTTATTTGTAGCTGAAAGCTAGGTTCTTGTTTGATCCACTTTGTGTTTTTGTAAAGATGCCTTGAGGGAAACTTGACTTGCATTTGACTAAATTTAGGCATTAGTATCTCGTAGATACGATTTAGTATATGAACAATCGATCGGAACTAATACTGTATCAAATGAATGCCAGGTGTGTAAGGGTATTCAAAATTCGTCAGCCCAAAAGATGACTGTTCTTTTTCTTGTTTTATACCTTTTATTATCAAGTTCTCTCACAAGCTGTTTTATCGTGTTGTTGTTGTTGTTGTTGTTGTTGTTGTCGATTCTTATTTAGGGGCAGCGTGCTTCAATAATTTATGATTCATTGCCCTGCGCTCCACGACTTGCCAAGTTTGTTGCTTTGCTTTCCGCCTCTGCTCCCTGCTCCCTGCTCTCCGCACTCCCGACTCTGCCTTGGTTCAACGATCTAATTAAAGGTTATATGTGCAATTTCATTGACGCTGTCTCTCGCCGCTTTTGTTATACTCCATTTATATATATATGTATATATATATAAGCAGGTACTATCCGGCTTTTCAATCGCGCCAAGTGTTTCTTCCTCGACCTATAACCTTTTCACCTATATTCCTTCAGTTGAAGATCCTTGACTCAGTCTGATCGGATCTCGGTCAATCAATCAGTCAGTTGTTGTTGTTTTTGTTTCAGGAAACGTATCCATCATCGCCGCCAGTTTGGTTTGCCGAAAGCGAGGAGACGAGCGTTACAAATGCCGTGCAAATCCTTAGCAACACAAATGGTCGCGATAATCATGTGATTAATCAGGTGAGCGCCCTCCCCTCCCCTCCCCTCCCCTCCCCTGCAGACGCAGCGATCTTATGGCAACTAATTTATGATATATTTTCAGGTTGGCATATTGCTACGCGAGCTATGCCGTTTACATAATGTTCCACTGCCACCCGATATTGATAATTTAACGCTGCCACTACAGACGCCGCCGCCGTCCGCATCGCCGTTACGCTTGGAGCGTTCCGGCGGCGGGGGCGTTGGCGGTGGGGGGCCGGGGCCGCATGGCAACGAGGAGACCGATTCAGATCAGGACGAGATTGAGGATCCGATCGGTGAGAGCGAACAGGAGAGCGAGGGCGACGAGGATCTACCATTGGAAATGGACGATGTACGGAATACAAATAAAGTGCGTACAAATCAAATCAAATCAAATCAAGGATTTGCCCATCAATAATCATGAACCTACTCCTTCTACTTCTCCTCTTCCAAGCAGAAAGATGATATGGAGGTGGAACATTTAGCGACTTTAGAAAGACTGCGTCAAAGTCAAAGACAAGACTATTTAAAAGTGCGTAAATATATAATTTTGTATATCTTGTATATATATTGTATATATTCCGTCTCGCACTTGCACTCATCCCATCTCTTTTCAATTGGTGCAGGGTTCAGTTTCTGGTTCAGTGCAGGCAACCGATCGCCTCATGAAGGAACTACGTGATATTTATCGATCCGATGCGTTCAAGAAGAACATGTACTCGATTGAGCTGGTTAACGATTCCATATATGAATGGAATATACGCCTCAAATCTGTCGATCCGGACAGTCCCCTGCACAGCGATCTGTTGCAGCTGAAGGAGAAGGAGGGCAAGGATAGCATACTGCTGAATATACTGTTCAAGGAGACATATCCGTTCGAGCCGCCCTTTGTTCGTGTCGTGCATCCCATCATCTCAGGTGTGTTGCCTGCAAACGCAAAAACAATTGTGTTCGATCCGTTTAATCCCTCTGATTACAATTCTTAATCCAGGTGGCTATGTGCTAATCGGCGGTGCCATTTGCATGGAACTGCTGACCAAACAAGGCTGGAGTTCCGCCTACACAGTCGAAGCCGTGATCATGCAAATTGCCGCGACGCTGGTCAAGGGCAAGGCGCGCATACAATTTGGTGCTACCAAGGTGCGTAACGTTTCGCAATCGAAATCCTATCAAATCTTCAACTCATCTCTCTCTCTCTCTCTCTCGCTCTCGCTCTCGCTCTCTGTCCAAAGCAGGCGCTCACCCAGGGCCAATACAGCTTGGCAAGGGCCCAACAAAGCTTCAAATCGCTGGTGCAGATCCACGAGAAGAACGGTAAACCAAATCGAATATCGTCTATCGTTAAGAATGATAATGAAGATTCATTGATTTATTTTGCCAGGTTGGTTCACGCCGCCAAAGGAGGATGGCTAAGGTTTGTTTGTCGTTTAAGTGTTGTTCTATAAGCTTAAGGGGGAACGGACGTTTGCCAAATTCGTCGCCGAGCTCATCCATATAAAGAACCTAACCCAAACAAATACCAGACACATGCGGCCAGATTGGCCACATCCGAGTGTATCAGTAGTAGAAGAAGAAGACGCCTCAGAGCCGGCGCAGCGACAGCCACAGCAGAAGCAGAAGCAGAAGCAAAAGCAACAGGAAAAATAAAATGCAGCATGCAAAATCGAACCCGCCATTCAAACATTATTTCTATAATGAACGTTGCCGTCGTCGTTCACGTCGTTAAGTTCTGCAATTTGTGTATACTTGATAAATACATGCTAACACACACACACACACACATACACACATACATACATAATGCAAATAAATCGAATTAAGATTGTAATCTAGAATTTTATTTTTCCCCCCCTAAATGTCATGTTTTTTTTTTAAACCAAATGCGCGTTTGTCTGTGTCTCCAGTTTTGTTGTATGTATGTATTTGTAATTGTGCGTGTGTGTGTGTGTGTTCTTTATTTGTATTTGTATTTGTATTATGTCTTGTCTTAGCTCTTTTATGTGTATGTATTTGTAAAAACAAGAGGCGAATTCAATCATCGCTTCACAATGTGCATCATAAATATGCATTTTTGGCATACATTTTTTTTTCTAGTTTTTTTTTTTTTTTTCGCTAGGAGTACTCCAACTCAGACAAATTGCTTTGAATTACGTATAGGTATATACATATATATATATATATATAACAATCATATATTTATAATTGTAAACGATAAAATTGTACAGTTAGCTTCAATAATTAACAAATTAACGATTATAATAACAATAACGATTGTAAAAGCAATTTATGCATATATGCCGATTTGTATATCTAATGTAAATGTCCGATTAACGCAGGCGTTGCCACACTGTGCAAATGTCTTGAATTCTATTTGAATTTGCTTCATTTTTTTTTTTCTGTTTTTTGGCAACGTTACATTTCGTTCACAATGGTAGGACAATGCGCTTTTTGGATAGAACCGCAGAAGAAATCACGCATACACATCCGCGCACACACACACACACACACACACACACACACACCAATCCATATACAAGCCTAATTGTAATTAGTTAAGCGACGTAATATACCAATATTTTTTGTAGTTATTAAACATGTAACCTTATATATTTCTCTCTAGCTGTAAGGGATTGCGTATGCGGATGTAGTTATAGTTCATAAACATATATCTATATATATACAAAAACAAAAAATATATATATATATACATATGTGTAGCATATACAACTAGAAGAGAGTTAAACGTTAAGCATAACGGAATCGAAAAGTAAACGCAAAACTGAGCATAAGCAAATTCTAACTGTAAATTCGTCTTTCCAAATAATCGTAACATATTGAGTAAAAATAGAAGGAAAAATAAGAAACCAGAGCCCAATAAAAATAAATGCAAAAAACTAAATGAAACAACAAGAAACAACCAAATCGTTGGAAAAATAATAAGAAATTCAATATTGAATACAATGTGCATAAATCTTGCCGTTTTCCTTTCTTTTATAACATAATCTGTTTTTTATTATTAATATTTTCATGATTTTTCTAACAATAATTAAAACGAACGTGAATTTAGCTTTGTACAAGCCCATCCATTTGGCATGTGCATAATTTTGTATGCGAATCCAAAGTGAAAAGCAATTAGAATAATGCTTATGTGCGACGGGCTGAGGCTTAAGCATGCGCCAAGTCGATAGAATCAGTTCCGGGTCAGTCGACAATGACCACATAGTTGGAGGCCGCCTTTGAGGGATGCATTTTGGGCGTTTTGTTATGCGTGTAGCATAGGGTGGGCGTTGTCTCCTCGTTGTTGTCCAGCGCACCGCCAATGATCATCTCGAGGGCGCCCTTCACCTGCAACAGTTCACAGGTGAGCCGAATCTCGGCCTGCATTGTCCGCCTGAGCCGCTCCAGGGCAGACAGCATCTGTTTGTTGTAGCTAAATACATTGTTCTCGAACACATCCATTACGGCGCTGGCGGCATTCAGGAGCGGACGCATAAAACGCACCTCGCCCATATGATCGCACAGAAAGTTGATAAACTGTATGATCTTCTCGTCGGGTCGATTTGTGAGCGCCGCCTGCAGAGCGCTGCGATGCTGCAGCTCTGTGATGACGGCGACAACGTTTTCCGGACATTTTTCAATGTTCCGGCGTGTGCAGACAAAGTCGAGCGCCTTCTTATAGTTGAATTTGCGCAGATGTATATCGTAAGGTTTAAGCTTGATTGCATTTCTTTTGACGGTAATTACATGATCAACCGGTTGGCCAGTATTTGGACGCGCCAATTTCTTGAAATGCTTCTGCCGATGGCTGGCCTTGATTTGCTTCAGATGACTCGGTTTGCTGTCGACAATCATCCGTTTGATGGAGACCAAGCCATCGACCATGCCGGCGACAACAGCCTGATCCTTGGCAGCAACGGCCAGGCTGACCACCGCATTTGGATAGGTTAGTGTGTGCACCGTTTTATATGTGCTAACATCATAGATCTTGACATGACGATCCAGACCGCCGGAGAGCAGACGCCTGCCATCGGAGCCGAGACGCAGGCACGTTATCGTCTTGTGGTGCTGTGACATGGTCGTTAGCAGGCGACAGCCACTGATTAAATCCCAGACGCGCACCTGTGTGCCGCCGGCTGTGATGAATATTGAACCGCTCGGCAGGAACAGCATCGACTCAACGGGACTGCCATGATCCAAGGTTTGTGTTATTGCCTGCTCGGCGCGCGTGTCATAGAGATTGATTTTACCATCATAGCCGCCGGAGATGAACATGTGCTTCGCTTGCGGATGCATGGCACCGGCTCGTATATAGTCGCTGTGCGCATCCTCATATGTTTGCACCACCTTCTCGTTCGCCACATCCCAGAGACGGACGGATTTGTCGTCCGCAAAGCTGGCCAAATGCAGTTTGTCGGCCGTAAAGAAGGTGCGATGCACGGGCGCCTTGTGGCCCTTGAACAGACGCAATATGCTCCGGCTGGTCGTATCGAAAAGCTTCACATGACCCTCCTCGTCGCCGGCGGCCAACAGGCGACCATCCTGCCGAAATGTGGCACCGTACGCGGTCTTTTGGAAGCGTGACAAATTCTTAACCACCAGCTTTGTCACCAGATTGTAGATTTGCACACGCACCGAACATGTCAGTACAAAATTGTCTGGGTCACTTGGACTGAAGTCTATATAGTCGATCGTTGTGTGTTCCTTGAGCAGCTCCGGTTTCTGTTTGGTGTATTTGTAAATTCGATTTAAGTATACGCAACAACACTATGAAAACACTATGCTCACCGCCAAGCGATCCCAATAAATGGTGTCGGGTGTGACTACTTGGGCCTTTTGCTGAAACCGTCGTACATTAAGTGGCTGGAAATTAGTCATTTTTCTTCTGATGTTGTGGTCGTCAATTGGCGTCGGCGCGCGCACGTGGAAGTGCAACAATATGTTGGGCCTTACAAACTTCGATAGGCTTATCGATAACACTCGATGACTGCCGTCTGGTCACATTCAAATGGCGTACGATCAGCCTGTTTGACAGCACTGTAAAAATATCAATGTTATTTATATGTCCGTATTAATAGTAGGTATTTTTTTGTTTTGCCTGCAGTCTTAAATGGAATTGCCAACTTTACTTCTGGCGAATTCCCAATTATATATTGATTTTTTATTCAATGTACAGCCTTTGCTGAGAATTCAAAGATTGCCATTGTTTTGGAAAGTAAAGGTGTTGTTAAATGTTCAACTTAAGACATTCAATGGTAACCGTGTAAGCTTAACAGAGTGCTGTAAACCAGCTGTGCATTACACTCGTGTGTACTCGATGTTTGTCTGTGAGGTATCGATATATATAGGAACAACAATAACAAGCGGCAGGCACATTTATTTACAAATTAATTTGTTTAACGTGTTTCGTTGGCGCTTTATGCGAATTGATGCCAAATACAGCACAGCCGCAAAGCGTGATTGATTAAAAGTGGCCTCAAAGGCAACGCGGGCTCGTTAAAAATAAATAATAGCAACAACAACAAGAGCCACAATAGCCATCATATAGATTGAATTTTAATTGAAATTTATTTATCACCGCCGCTTTCGTCTCGCTCCGTCTTGAATGTGAGCGTTATATATTTTAGGCACTGCCAAACCTCCCCTGCCCGCCCCCCCCTAACCGGTCAATCCATAGTGCTCCACTGGTGAATCTTTTAATTAACCAAAGATGGGCCCGTCTCTGGCTTGATGAATGGAAAAAGAGATAGAGGAATAGGCAACGCACAAGATGTGGCAAATTTAAAGGCAACTATTAATTGACAGCAATAAATGTGTCCAATACAATTGAATCGAACGCAAACGATCAATAGTCGCCAGCAGCTGGATAGGCACAGATCGCAGCGGAGCTTCCAAAAATGGACGACGTTATGAATGTGGACTCTAACAATGAGAAGAAGGTGCTCTGCGAGAAAATCATACGTGACATCAACGCCGTCTTTCTCAAGGATGCCGACTTGTGAGTTGCATATAAAGCGTATGACAGAGATGGGCGCGGCCCGGACTTGGTCCATGGCCATGTCCATATCTCACAGTTATATCAAATATATCTTGTTAATTGGTCACCTTGCAGATCCTCTTTTGAGATCATACCCAAGGAGACGAACTGCAATAAGTCGCCGGTGGTGCATGTTGATCACAATTTGGGTCTGGAGTCGTGGTGCGCCCAGCATGTCTATGATCATGCGCACCGCACGCTCATCTCGCATCGCCGCCAGACAATGCAGCAACAGTTGCGCACGCTGCAGCAGCAGCAGCAGAGCGATGCCCTGGCCAAATATTTGAATGTGGCGCTACTGATCAATCCGGACGTGACCACCTTTTGGCATATACGCCGGCAGCTGGTGCAAAAGAATCGCTTGAGCATCAACAAGGAGCTGCAATTCTCGGCCCTGGTGCTATCCATAAAGCCAAAGTCTAACGAGGCGTTCGCCTATCGTCGCTGGCTCTACTCCTTTCAAAGTAGGTGATTGATATAGACATAGATTTAGTTATAAATTAAATGAGATCCTGTTTCATATGAACTAGGTGCCGATGCCATCGACTGGCCACACGAGATCAGCATATGCGAACGCGCCGCCGATCGTTGCGCTAGCAATTATCACGCCTGGTCCCATCGCCAGTGGGTGCTGCAGAATGCGCCCTGCCTGCTGCTGTCGGAGCTGATGCGCACGGAGAAGTTTATACGCAAGCATATTAGCGATTATAGCAGCTATCATTATCGCCAGGTGCTGCTCGGACGCGCCTACGAGCTGTGCTTCTATATGCCCGACGAGTCGCAGCCACAGTGGGCCAGTTTGCGTGAGCTGCTCGCCCAATACCAGCTGAACTGCTCGGAGCCAGCTGGGCCGGATGCGGAGCCGTTGCTGCAGCTGCTGTTGCCCAATCTCAATCACAGCAGCATCAGCGCTCAGCGTCTGCGCTCCTTTCTCTACTGCTGCAACGTGGCCGCCAGCGATATGCGTCTCTGTGCGGAGCAGCGCGCACTGTACGGTGCACGTGACTGCTTCGAGCTGCATCGACGCGCCTCCCTCAAGTTCATTGTGGAGCAATGTGTGCGTCTGCTGACGGGCCTGGCCAGTGGTCCGGGCCTGTATCTGGCGCCCGCCAGCGGCGCTCAGTCAAATGAGCTACGCAAATTCGATTATGATTCGCATCCGTTTCTGGTGGCCGTGCGGCGTCTGGAGTTTGAGCTGGGCGATAAGCACAGGCGCTGGTATAATATGCATCTCAATTTTGGCCATCACAAACAGGGCGGCAACTAGACGCAGCCACGCCCACCAAATACCCACTTTGTTTGTCAAATGTGCCGTAAACGCAACGCACTCATGGAGGCTGTTCGTTCTCAAGCAGAAACGAAATCAAATATATTATTATTACATATATATATATACACATATACATACATATAATATATATATGTGCACACATATGCAAGTAGTTCTCGTTATGTAGAGTCTACGATTGTGGACCACCTGAACCCCGAAACCTCCCCCTAATTAATTAATACATTGTCTAACTATTAAGTCTAAGCTCAAAGCGAAACATTTATCTAATTCTGTATTCCAAACTGAACAACATTTGCAATTTGTAATTTTCAAACAGATATATGTCGTATATGTTATGTATGCACATCAGGCGTATATATATATAGATATATATATATATATGTCTGGTCAGTTAGCGAATGAACTGGCGCTTTCGTGCATGCAATGACAATTCTTATGCATTTCAATCGAGATCAATCAAAGTTCAGTTACAACATTTCGTGTTCTATATATATATATATATGCATATATTAAATGCTCTATTAGTTATATCTAGCTATATTTGTATGTAGAATCACATATAGCTACCTATATATACATATATATATATCTATATGTATATATAGGCGCCACTAAATGCTCTATTTAAATTTAAAACAAGTGTTGTACACCAAAATAAATTTGTAATGCACGTTTATTAGCTAATTTGCGGTTAGTTTTAATAATATATATTCAACAAGAACTTTTATTCAATAATCTTTCAAAATTGTTAAATAATTCGCTTTCTTCACAAGGAGATTTTAAGTTTTATTTATATGCAATTATTTGATGTGGAATCTACCTTTTCAGGTATTGAATATTCACATATTTAATCTATTACGATGTGAGTGTGTATGCATGCGCGTGTGTGTATGTATGCGCGTGTGTATGTATGCGTGTGTGAATGTATGCGTGTGTCTGTGTTTGTATGCTTGCTTGTGTGTGTGTATGTATGCAAGCTGTCTATGAATATGGGTATGCATGCATATGTACGCATGTGTGAGTATGTATGTGTGTATGTATGTAGGTGTGTTTGTGTGTGTGTGTGTGTGTATGTGCATGTATCTATGAAAATAAGCATGCATGTATGTTCAATTGCATTAAACAAAGGCAAAATTAACTTGCCTCTGCGCTGCAAATTGAATAAAAACGTATTTGTTAAGGCAGCTCTCCTCTGCGATTCTCAAGAATTTAAGTACGACTGGCACGTCTTCATGCTCTGATAGTAAGTGAAGTGTTACGTTAACAAGTGTTTTGGCAGTCTACCAACATTAATTTGTGTGAGTGAGGGTATGTATGGGTGAGTGTATGTATGGGTGAGTGTATGTATGTATGTGTGTGTGATATGTATGTATGTGCGATATGTATGCATGTGTGATATGTATGCATGTGTGATATGTATGTATGTGTGATATGTATGTAATTGTGATATGTTTGTATGTGTGATATGTATGTATGTGTGATATGTATGCATGTGTCATATGTATGTATGTGTGATATGTATGCATGTGTGATATGTATGCATGTGTGGTTTGTATGTATGTATGCATGTCTGTATGTATGTATGAATGGATGTGTGTGTGTGTGTTTGTTTGTGTGTTTATGTGCATAAGTGTCTATATGTATCTGCGTGTGTGTATATGTATGTATGTATGCATGCATATATGTATGAGCAAGAAAGCTGTAATTTTCACTGTAGTTACCTTATGGGATGAAGGCGCACGTTATGATGGGGTTTCGGGAAATTCCACCCGCATGTGTAGAATATTCGCGAAAAACGTTTGTATGTGGATTATACCCGCTATTATCCAACATAGGGGCCAGGTGAAAATTTCCCAACCCCATAACTCGGTTAAACCTCGTCCGATTTTCATGAGGTTTGGGTCTTTGATCATGGTTTGGACTCTAGATCAGTTTGGAATATAAATCTGGCAAGTTTATTTTTGGTCCAAATTCATGTAAAAATTGTATCCTAAAATATCCCATATAGGTAAAAATTTCCCAGCCGCATAGCTCGGTGAAAACTCTCCCGATTTTCATAAAGTTTTGGCTTTTTGTTTATGATTTTAATCAATTTGGCATCTAAATCTGGCAGCATTATTGCTTGGAAAAAATTGATGTGAAAACGAAACCCTTAAATATAATGTTAAAATTTCTCACCTCCATAACTCGGTCAAATCTCTTCCGATATAAGTGTATGATTCTGATAACGATTTGTACTTTGGTTTGTCCTTAGGTTTGGTTTGTTGGAGTTGAATATTTTTTCGTTTTATTTTTTCAAAAAGAATAAATCTGTTTTAATATTTTCTTATTTTCAAACAATTTTTAAGCATATTAAATGATTTAATTCAGCTTGGGCTCGATTGTTATTTAAATGCCGAGTTCATTATTTAATAATAATATATAAATAATAAACAACAACCAAAAAGGGACAGGTGCTCCGTATGGCTATGAGAAGGAAGCTCCGGTTCTCTCATCACTCATCAGACGTTTTTGGGCTTTAACTTATTGAGAATTACAAGCGCCAATCAACGAAAAGAGCAAAACAAGCATTAACAGTGCCCATATTCTGTGTGTTTTACAAGCTCCTCGTTTCTTTTTCGAAGCTTTAACTTATTGAGAATTACAAGCGCCAAGCAGCGAAAACATCAAATGATAAGTAAAAGCTGAACTATTTCAACACAAGCTGCAATGTCCTTCGTTCGGCGCATGAGTCGAACATAGTTAAATACAGTGAGACCCAATTGTTGTCGCATCTAGTTGCAGTAATAGGCTATTTGCCTCTACCAATTACGCTTTCAGTTCTTCCCAAGAGGGAAATTTAATTTGTTTGTTATTTTGCACTGAAGCCGCAAAGACGCAGCTGCTTAGCTGGCCAACCAGCCGCAGGCCATTGAAGGACAGATGCGTATGGGTGGAGGGGGGTGGGGTGGGGTGGGTTGGGTGGTAGGTAGATGTATAGGTAACGGTGCTGTTGTTTGTGTTAGGAGGTCGCATTGGCGTTTACATGGGCATGGCATCAACATCAATCAGTGCGCATGTCAGCTGCTAGCAAAGGGCCATGCTCACAATGGCGAGATGACAACAACAACAACAACAACAACAACAACAACAGCAGCAGCAGCAGCCGCAGCAGCAGCAGCAGCAGCAGGTTTTGGTTCAGTGCACTAGTGGAGGAGTTTGCGTGCGACCGAGCCTTGTCAACAGCGTCGAGACGTCGAGGCAAGAAGTTAAAGCAAAAGCAAAAGCGAAAGCAGTGCCAATCGAGACAGACATCAGAACGGGAACGGTCCTTAATTTGGCAACTAGGCTGTGCCTAAATAGTGTTATTTTTCTTGTGTGTGTGTGCGACTATTTTTTTTTTTTAATAACAATTTGCAAGGTGAGCATTTTAATAAAATGGCAGGCAAATGCAACAATGTCAAAATGGCATAGTGAATGGCAAGAGCAAAGGCAAAGCCAAGCGTTAAAGCAAAGACAATGGCAAAGACAAAACAAATAAACATTGAACACGAGTTTTCTATATATGTGCACACAAACACACACACACGCACACGTACATGCATACAAATTTACGCATGTTATTACGCATATGTATACAGTGTGGCCAGCACTTGAATGCGTGTGTGTGTGTGTGTGTTAAGTACTGGGGATTTGCTCTTAAAATGTTAATTTTTCTATTTTGCATTGCATATTTATGATTTTATATGCCTAAATGCTGCTGTTCTGGCGTTGGCTTTCCGGTTGAAAGGGGTGTGGGTGCGGGCGGCTGCGGATGGGTGGGGGTGGTCTAGGCATGTAAATCGTTTAACTACGCTTCAGCTGCAGCCTTGAAGGGAGCTTCGTGTTCGAAGGTCGCTTGCGAATCGGTTGAGCTCTCTGCAGCTGAAATGAATGCAAATTAATAGTGTTGTAAAGCTTTGAGTTCTTAAGCTGGGTGCATTAACGGTTTAATGAGTGCATACATATACATACATACAGACATACATACATATAATGTATATGTATGCAGATCTAAGCACACAGTCACACAAGCTTCTGCAGTTGGGGGCGCTTTTGTGCGTGCGTGTATATGTACAACCAATGGACACACCTGATGATTTTTTGTGTAAGTGTGTGTGTGTATTGGGAAGAGTATTTGTTGGCAGGACAACGCGACAAAGGCACAGACATTATCAATGCCATATACGTACATACACACATATGTATGTGAGTTTGTAATGCCTGGGTGCATAACGGCTTGTTATTTTGTTATTCATCTGTTCTAATCATTATGCATACCATTTGCACTCCTTCGCCCTCTCTCTTCCTCTCTAGCAGGTTAACAGACAAGAAACAGCTCAACATATCGATAAATAGAGAGCAAACAGTGCATATCCCTTTAACATTCACAACAACAAAAAAAAAAGCAACAGCATCGATTCTAACAGTTTGACGCTGACTGCGCTGCTGCTGTTGGCAGCGGGCAGCGTACAATGAACTTTCTTATGCAGTGCGCCCAATAACACACACACATACACACACGCTTACACTCTCTATAGATGCACAACGGCTGGCTGCGTCGACGGCGGCAGCAATGGCCACAACGATGTTGACGCTGGAAACGAGGACAACGAAGCAGTTGACAATTGAGAATCAAATGCGCTAACAGTTAATTACGCACACGCACATACACATACATATTTGGAAAGCGATATGTCCGCACTATGGTTTCCGTTTTCGGCATGCAACAACCAGGAACAACAAAAACAACAACAGGAACAACAAAACAACAACAGCTACAACCACAAGAAGCACTCAGCAGTATCCGTGCCTGCTGCTTGACGTTGTTGCGGCAAATTTAGGCTGAGACACACACACACACACACGCGCGCGCACACGCACACAGAGCCAAACGCAGGAAATTGCATTGAAAAAATACCAATTTTGAAAAAGCACACAACATTTTGCAAAAGCAAAAAGAATTCAAATTATGGGCAGCCTGCCGAATCTGCACGAACTGGAGGAGGCGGAGCGTAAACGCGAGAAGCGCAGGGAGTATGAGCTGCTGTTGGAGCAGCGCGCCAGGGACACCAGTCGGGAGCGCGAGCGTCTGTCGCAGTTCGCCCAGCAGCGCAAGGTAAGTTCGATAAATGATCGCTAGAGGCTGTCGATAATATAGATAATATCGATAACATGTGCACGCAACTGGGCAATTGGCTTTGCTGCTGTGACAGCCAATTGGAATGCTCAATTGGATTGCTGTGTTTGCCAATTGGACTGGACAGCTGCACATTGCGTGCATGCTTGGCCTGGCCTCCTACTGCGAGCTCTTAAAATAATCTGTTTACGTCTTCAATGCAGCAATTCTCCTACAATGCTTACATTATGGCTGGCCTGGGCATCGGCGGCGGCGTCGGCGGCGGCTCACTGTGTCTTACGGCAGCCAATGGGCATGGCAATGGGGAGCTAACCAGCGTCAATGGCATAAAAGCCCAATCACTTGCCGAAACAACAACAACAACAACGGCGACAACAACAACAACAACAACACAAGCGACAGGGACAACAACGTTGAGCGGCTTTGCCATGCTGGGTCTGGCCGGCAGCTTGATGAGCGCAAAGAAATATCCGCATCCTTACCATCAGCACACGCATCCGCATACGCATACGCATCCGCATCCGCATCATCAGCATCGACATTCGCTGACCACACGGCATCGCGTGCTGCGCACCCGGACACGCAGCTCCGGCGGTCCGCATAACGTTTGGGACGACCAATTGATGGAGGTGAGTGGGTGGGTGGTGGATGGGTGGGTGGTTGGGCGCTGCTTGTGAATGGTGCGTGGGCTAAAAAACGCAAACCTGATGCCACGCGTTATAATCCTGGTCCGGGTCTGGCCAGCAACTGGAACGGGCACTCGTCATTTATTTATAGTCCTTGCAAATTGTGCCTTTGACGTTCAGCTTTAATTTGGCTCAGTGCCATTCAGCCAGTCGGCTGGGGAAGGGGGGAGGAGGAGGAAGTGGAGGGGTGGTGGTGGTCAAGTGTCAGCAACAGCTACTGGATTAACGCCCCCACAAGCCCGAGAAGTAATTATACGCAAACACAGACACGCACATTCCCGTTTTAATTGCGTTTTAAATGGCCTGTCGAAGGCGAGGGCGAAGGGGAATGCGAAGGGGAAGCGGAAGGGGAAGGGGAAAACAGAATCCAATCCGACTAATGTGGCTAATGTGAAAAACACAAATGGAAGAAGCTTCACGGTCAGCTCAGATGTCAGCTCTGTCAATTGTGAATCGGACACAAATATTTAAAGGCAATAAAAACAATCAATTGCACTTGTCGGGAGTGACCGACTTGGGTATACTCTGTAATCCGGGGCTCGATAAGTTCTGTTTGGCAGTGCCCGACTTGCGGATACCCCGTAGCCAGTTTCGATGTGAAAATTTGATGCCCAGCATCCGACTCTTAGTTAATTTTCAAGTCCTTATTGTGGCAGCTCTTAAAGGATATATTCTGCCAAGGCAGCAGCTTGTTAACGATTCTTATCGATTGCGTGGGTACGTGCCAAGTTATCGATATTTTCAAATAAACTTCTGAGAGTACCAAGGATCTCTAAATCCGATCTGAGTGGGAATCATAAAATGCCAGAGACTTGAAGCTATAAATAAATATATGGTCGAGTTCCTAATTCTTTTATCGATAGCTTCCGAAACGTTTACAAACTCGATAAATATCGATTTTGAGACTTGATTTGGCCCGCCTTTATTTTAAAATTGAAAAATCCCCTATTTAAGGTAAAGCTTTGTGCTTTAGGAAATACACATAGGTGCGGCCCGAAAATTGCATGAAGATCGGACTATAAAGGCCGAAGTTACGCGGGAATGCATTTCTCATAGAGTGGGAAGGAAGATAAATAGATGAATAGTATAAAAAGAGTAAATAGAGAAATAAATAATAAATAGGCAGGCTTGAATGTTTGTGAGGGCAGTTGGCGGTTACGGGTACAGGGTATCTGCCAGCAGTCGGGCACACCCAATCTATATAATATTTGTGATTAATTGTATGCTTTTTCTCAATCTGCAGCATATGACCGGCTACTCGCCGTCGCCGATCTCGACGCGTTCGCATCGAATAAATCCCGTGTCCTCGTATCAGGTGCAGGCCGCGTTGGCGGTATCGCGTCGCCGCGAATCGATAAACAGCTCCATTGGGGCGACCTCGATCCGGCGGCTGATCACGCTGAACAACCGCAACTGCCGGCACAAGGTGCCCGCCCATGTTCGGCAGAGGGTGTGGCGCCAGTTCAGCTGCCTGAGCATCGCCCACGGCCTGATGAGCGCCGTTCTGCTGCCGGTGATGGCGCTGCAGGGCTCCAGCTCCGTGTGGCATCATCGCGAACAGTGGCTGCCGCTGGGCCCCAACATTGGATCGCTCCTGCTGAGCGCCCTCTTTCTGCTGGCCGCCGTCCTCAGTGTGCCGGGCACACGGCTAATACGCCGCTTTGGCTATATGCCGCTGCTGGCGGCCAATTCGTTGGCGGTGTCGCTGTTCCTGTTGGCGCATCTGTACGCCTCCATCTATACGCTGCTGCCGGCGTATTTGGTGCTGGGGATTACGCTGAGCGCCGCCAACAGCTGCAAGGCGGCGCTCATTGTGCACTTTGGCGGCAAGCTGAGCTGCGCCCAGCACGAGTGCCCGCTGGTCGGCACGCAGACGCAGACCCAGACGCTGACGCCGTCGGATGCGTTGCACGAGGAGCACAAGATGTTCTGCAATCGGGATCAGAAGGTGCGACGGCTGGCGCGCTGGTATCGTGCTGCCCAGGATTTGGGCCTGATTCTGGGCGCCTTGCTGGCATCGCTGCTGCTCGCGTGCAATGCCAACGATTGGAACTGCTCGGCGGGCACCGTTGAAGCGCTGCCAAACGGAACGGAGCCACCGCCGGAGGACTTTTACAATCGCAACGAGCACGACGAACGCATTTGTGGCGCGGACATGTGCCCGCTTCAGCTGCTGCAGCTCAACTGGCCGGCGAACAGCACACGCTCGATATACGCGGGCTTCATTGAGAGCGGCGATCGCGCTGGCGGCCAGTCCCTGCTCTGGCTGTACGAGCTGCTGTCACTGTTGGCGCTGATGTTGTCCATGCTGCAGGGACGTCGGCTGCTGGCCGTGGCGGGACGGCACGAACGTGTCGTCAAGGATGCCACGGATACGCTGCTCTTTGCCGGTCCCCTGGCGTATTTCGTCGGCACCGAGCAGGGCTATATGCTGGGCGATTTTTTGCGCGCCTTTGTCTCCTGCTCGCTGGGCATTAGCATGATACCGGGCGCCCTTATCGGCATGGGCCTGATGCAGCTGATCGTCTCTTGCACGCTTAGTATGCTGCTGCGGCACACCAAACGCATTGTGGTCATATGTAAGTAGACGCCATTTATATATTATTTGCGTCAAACTCAATCGATTTACCCGGAAAGCCGTCAGACTCAAGCTCGAATTAATGATTCATGCAACCCGTGGATATTCTTACAAACGAAGCTCGAACTGCAACATGTTCGAGCTCATTTGACTCGAACCGAATGTTTGGTCGAGCCGATCTACTCAATTTGTTCTCTGAAACTCGAACGGTTTGATCGAGCCTATCTACTTAATTTGTTGTCCGCAATTTGAACGATTCGATCGAGCCGTTCTACTCAATTTGGTTGTATGCAACTCGAACGGTTTGATTGAGCCAATCTGTTCGAGCGAAGCTCGTGCTGCAACATGTTCGAGTTCGAGTTTATTTCATTAAATCGAACTGAATGTTCGGTCGAGTCAATTTGTTGTCTGCAACTCGAACGGTTTGATCGAGCTCAACTACACAATTTGTTATCCGCAACTCGAACAGTTCGAGCTCGAATCGAATTGAGCCTTGGCTGGCTCAAACGAAACAAAAATGTTCGGGTATTCGATTAGGCGTTTCGATTAATTTATTGCTCCAATTTATCTAATCGTTGGGCTTGCCCAGTGGCTGGTTTCTTCTTTCATTCGTGCTTGCTGCTGGCGCTGTCCAGCTGGAAGCCATCGAGCGATGATAGCGCCCTCTTCTATGTGATAGCCGCCTCGTGGGGCGCCTGCAATGGCATGTGGGAGACGCTGCTCCTGTCGCTGATCACCCTCAACCATGTCCAGCACGACCAGGTCACGGAGGTAAACGCATCGCTGCAAGCACTCCGCTTCCTTGGCCTGGCCATCACGTTTGCGGCGCACGGATTTCTCTGCGAATCGGTGAAGATCATTGCCCTGGTCGTGCTGCTGGTGATCTGTGTGCCGCCGTATGCGATGCTGGAGATGCGACTGGAGGCGCAGCGGAAGGCGACGCTCATCAGCTTATGACGCAGCTACTTCAGCTAGTCCAGGGGGGGGCGGGGCACTGTGGCACGCACGCACACCATGTAAATGCGGGCGAGCGGCGCCACAGGCCGAGCGACTGATAACGACAGGATAACAGCAAGGACACCCATCCAACGGACACGGAGCCGGGCCCCCAGGCGTGCTGCAGTCCTGCCAACCTAACCAGTATTCAAAGAGACAAGGAGCGAGAGGAAGGAAGATAGAGAGAGTGAGGGCGAGCAAGAGGTAGGAATAGCTTTTGTTATATTTGATTTTGTATGCCAAAGATTTCCACCCAGCTCCAGACTTGGAACATTTGTAGCGCTTAGTCCAAACCAAAAGCTAGACCCCAAGTCCATAACTGTTAACTGTCTATATACCTATATATACATATATATATATATATCTGTCTCTCCATATATATGTTATTATATATATGTATTGTATATCTATAATATATATCTTATTGTATCTATTAATCTAATCAAAACATGTGCCAGTGCCAACAATGTTGTTCCAAATCCTTACGAAATTTGGACTAGACAAGTCCACAGCCTATTTGATTAGCTGACGCATATATCTATATATATATAGGATAATTGAAAGCGTTCCTCTGATCAGTTGCCAATGGATAATGCTTAGGCTTAGCTTGAAGAATTATGATTGGCATTATTATGCGAAACAAATATGTCCTATATATTGCTCGATGTTAATGTAAAGCGTGACTCTCTAGATGCTAGATACAACAAAATATAAGGAAAGTCTCGCGTTCTGTATTTCGTTTTCGATTCAATTCTGTCTACGGGCAAATATAGTCGATTGATAATAATTCGAGCAAGCTGCCTTTTAAAATCGCAGCTCAGAGCAGGCCCTATAAAAATATTAAGTAGTATCTCAATGGGATCCAAAACCAGAAAAGGTCAAATTCACTCTCTAAGAAATCGAAAGAAACAAAAGACAAGACATATATTTTTTTGAAATGGAATCGAAAACGAAATCGAGAACAGAACAAGTGAAACGATGTATTCGATTTAATGCGGCTCATTAGAAAAAAAAAAAAAATAAATAAAAAGCTTAAAATGAGACATTGTATTCGATTGTTTTCCAAATATCGAAATCGGAATACAACTCAGATTCGGTTCCAAGCTTCAATTTCTCTCCAATTTCGCTCAAATGGTATTAGCTGAAATTCGATGAGAAATCGATGTTGGAAACATGTCTGAAATATTCGAAATAGTCAATACCCTTAAAAGCCCTGAATTGCTGTGAACTTGATAGAAACATGTGTGTTAGCTCCTAGAATGTATATGGATGTCAAATCGTGCTAAGTATATGTCATAAAATTGCTCTTGATGTATTTGGGAACAGGTTTCGTTGAAGGAATGTCCAGTTGGTCGAAGAGTTTACCCAACCCAAACAAGAACAAAATACAATACGTATTCCAATTGAAAAAAAATAAAAAAACGTATATTCGCTGGGATAGCAAAGGTGAAATCCTAAGGTCTAAGAACAATGTTAACATTTTACGCAGAAACAAACTTTTAACAAAACAAAAACTAAAACAAAAACAAATACATTTTTGTAATTGAGACTTTATATGGACAGTTATCGGATCAGGAAAACTTAGAATGCATTTTCATACACGTATTTCAAAAAATATTATTTACACTGTTGAGCTCCATTTAGGCTTTTTTTTTTTTTTTAAATAGATGTCTTAGGGAAGCGGAAATACCCAAAATATACAAGAGTTAAAATGCGCAAATTAAAAAATGCTATAATAAAAAAATTTAAAAAAAAAAGAAAACACAGTGATAGCAAAAAAACAAAAAACAAAAAACAGCTAATAAAAACCAACTAGAGTTAACCAAAGAAATACCTAAACAAATAAACAAAATGCAATAAAATCGAATTAATTAAATGGTCAAGCAAATTGTTAAGCCCATGCCACACACACACACACACACACACACACACACATCTAAGCATAAACAATTTATGAATAAATATGACAACTTATTTATATGTGTACAACAGAAATAAAGAGATTATCCACATTGAACCTTGCATTTGCACCTGCAGATCGGACACTGGCCGCTAAAAGTATTTGTACTTGGTCGGACTATTTGTTATGCCATTCCGAAGAGCGAAATCTTTCAATCACAATTTATAGTTTTAGCATTTAAAACAAGTAGACTTCTTTTTTTTTTTTTTGTTATATAAACATATATATTTATTTTTTTATTTTCTAAGCGATCAGAAAGATTGTTTATGTAGGGACGTTCGGTTGGGATATTTGCATATATTTTAAAGGTTTGCGAGATGTCCAAATCCTGATTAAAATCAATTAAGAGGATATCCCAAAATTGTAGAGGTTGAAAACAAGTCATAGATAATGGAATTTTTTATATTATACTAGACAAACAAGAATTTGAGGACTCTAGCTCTTATTTATACATGTGTGTATGTATGTAAGGTTGTGTGTGTGTCCATATGTATATGTGTGTATGTAAGTATGTATGTTTGTATGTATGTAAGTACATATGTATGTATGTATGTACGTATGTATGTATGTATGTAAGTACATATGTATGTATGTATGTACATATGTATGTATGTATGTATGTATGTATGTATGTAAGTACATATGTATGTATATATGTATGTAAGTACATATGTATGTATGTATATACATATGTATGTCTGTATGTATGTATGTATGTATGTATGTAAGTACATATGTATGTATGTATGTATGTAAGTACGTAAGTATGTATGTATATGTGTGTATTTAAGTATGTACCTATGTATGTATGTATGTATGTATTTATGTATGTATGTAAATACATATGTATATATGTAAGTAAGTATGTATGTAAGTACGTAAGTATGTATGTATATGTGTGTAAGTATGTATATATATGTGTGTAAGTATGTATGTATTTATGTATGTATGTATGTATGTATGTATGTAAGTACGTAAGTTTGTATGTATATGTGTGTATTTAAGTATGTTTGTATGAATGTATGTATGTATATATATGCATGTAGGTATGTTTGTTTGTATGTATGTATGTATGGACATATGTGTGTATGTAACTACGTATGTATATGTGTATATGTATGTATGTTTGTATGTATGTATGTTTCTTTGTATGTATGTTTGTGTGTAAGTATGTATCTTTGTATGTATGTATGTGTGTATGAAGGTCTATATGTATGTATATGTGTGTTTGTATTCATAAACATATATGGTGTATGAATATGTGTATATATATATATATATATATATATATATGTATGTGTATATATGTGCGTATGTCTGTTTGTATAAGTGCGTATATATACTTTGATGTATGTACGAAATAATGTATTATGTAGTATCTATTTATGTGTGTATGTATGAATTTATGTGCGTTTGCATAAACATGTCTGTCAATATATGTGTGCATGTATGTAGTTTGTATGTATGCGTGATTGTGCGCATGTTTATATGTACATATAGTTGCATGTCTGTATAAATGCATGTATGTATATACGAATTTATGTGTATTTCCATGTATATATGCATGTGTGTATGCATGTATGTATGTATATACCATGTGTAAACGTATGTATGTAAATAAATATATGCATATATTTTGTATGTTTGTATGCATGACCAAGTTTACATCTAGCTGAGCTGCAAATTTAAAAAAAAAACGTATTCTTCAATAATGCCCTACTACTCGATTCTCATGAATTCAAGTAAGTCTGATAGGCCTCACTTCAAGTAGAGGTGGCTGCAGCCTGACCACAGGAGGAGTCGGCGGCAGCAGGAGTCGGCGGTAGCAGGAGTCGGCGGCAGCAGGAGGCGGCGGCAGCAGGAGGCGGCGGCAGCAGGAGGCGGCGGCAGCAGGAGGCGGCGGCAGCAGGAGGCGGCGGCAGCAGGAGGCGGCGGCGGCCTACCTACAGGAGGAGGCGGCGGCTTCAACTATTGAGGAGGCTGCAGCTTACCCACAGGAGGAGACTGCGGCAGCTTGAGCGAAGGAGGAAGCGGCATCAGTTCGAGCAGAGGAGGAGACGGCAGCTTCAACTATTGAGGCTGCAGCCTGACCACAGGAGGAGACGGCGGCTATAACTATTAAGGAGTCTACAGTTTGAACACGGGAGGAGGAGGCGGCGGCTTAAACTACGGAGCAGTCGGCGGCAGCTTGAGCGAAGTAGGAGGCGACGGCTTACCCACAGGAGGAGACGGCTGCTTCAACTACAGAGGAGGCTGCACCTCACCCACAGGAGGAGACGGCGGCAGCTTGAGCAAAGGAGGAGATTTCTGGAGCTTACTCACAGGAGACGGCGACTTCACCTATTGAGGAGGCGTAAGCTTGACCACAAGAGGAGACGGCGGCAGCTTGACAACAGGAGGAGTCGGCAGTTCGAGCAAAGGAGTAGCCGGCCGCAGTTCGGGCAGAGTTGGAGACTGGAGAGCAAAGGAAAAACAGGTACGTAATATAAACATAAATTTGTCTGCTAGTATTTGAAATAAGAGTAACAACTATTACAATAAGCCAAATGCATGCATGTTGGCTTGCATGTATTTGGATGCACACATGTATGTATTTAAATGTGTGTGCATGTTGAGATTGCTTAAATATTAACAAAAACGTAATATTAAATACTGCTCCTCTACGCGATTCTCACTAATTCAAGTAAGCTAATCAACAATTTCTCTGCTTTTCTGCACTTTCAGTGACGACTTTGCATGCACGTTCGACTCCCACCTAATGATAGATGACAATCAAATAATCGTGCGTGTGAATTTACAGGTGAGTACGCAATTACCAATATATATTTATCTCTATACGTAAAACTGTTTGTCCTGATTGACTGACTGACTGTTTGTTACCTTATGTGACGGGGTTTTGAAAAATTCCATCCAAATGTATGAAAATATCGCTCATAACGTTTGCATGTAACTGTTTTGTTTACCATCCGATCGACATCAAACTCATTTTCACAGATCTTTGTTCAAATTTGTGGAAATGGCGATAAAAGACTTGGTGGGCAATCAGGGTTTAATGATCTAAAGTTGATTGTTCGGCTTCAAGATTTTGAACATAAGAGTAACATGAGCCGAACGCGTTGATTCCAACTTTTTGGTTCTTTATTTCATGAACCTTAAACTTTGTATACCCTGAACTCATTGAAAATGGGTAAAAGGGGTATAATGTATTTGTGCAAATGTATGTAACATGCAGAAGGAAGCATCTGCGACCCCATAAAGCATATATATATATATTTGATCAGCATCAATAGCCAAGTCGATCCGTCCGTACGTCCATACGTCCGTACAGTACAAGCTTGTTTCCGATAATCGATAACTTTCCTCGTTCAAGCGATCGATTAAAATCGATACTGAAAACCTGTTTTATTTTGGAGTTGGGGTAGAAGAGGGTTCAGGGTATTCCCTAGTCGGGAACTCCCAGCGCAGAAAAACTGCCACAGACAAAGCCAGGAAATACCCGCTAGTACAAATACATATATTGACACAAACATAGCCTAGAAACCAATATAGGCCACTACTGCCACAGTACAGGGTATAGCAGGCACATTCATCCTGCTTGTACACATATTTCTGACGGTCACTGTCAGCATTTAGGGTCAAGCAAAGAGCTTAACTTGTTTACTTACAACGCCATTCACGACGCCGAAGCTTTCGCCAAAGCTCAAACCTGTCGCAGGGCAGGCGAGTGCGAGCGAGAAAGAGAGCGCAGTGCAGCTCGTGCTTGGCTCTAAACTGACTTTAAGCTGAAGTCTATTAAGCTTATTAAGCAGCTCCCCTCCCATCCTCCCCCCTCTCAGCCACAAGGGGAGGCGAGCAGGCGGCAGGCAATATTTCAATTAAACATAGAATACAGGCATAAAACGTTTTATGCCTGTGTGCATGTGTGTGTGTGTGTGTGTGTGTGGGTGTGCGCGTGTGTGTGTGCGTGTGTATTTGTATAGGGCAAACAAGCTTTCGAGGGGCTTTATCAATTGAACGGCGCGATTTTTGGCACTGCCGCTGCTCAGTTGCTCGGCGAAATCGAAGGGGATCGCAGTGCATTGCCTCAGGCGGCGAATTCAAAGTTGGCCAACAACAACAACAACAAGACGATGACAACAGAAACAGCGACAACAACAACAACAACAACAGCGAGAACGGCCCAAGAAGTGGAGGCCATGTTAAGCGAGCTCTCCAGCTGGTTCGAAAACGAGCCCAACTTGCCCGACAAAATCGGTGAGTCCCCACTCCAATAATAAGATACTCTATATCGGGATAGCCAGGAATTAGGCACTAACTAACGTAAAGTAACAACGCATCTGGTCAAGCGAACGCGTTCCAGATAGTCTTATCAACACAATCAAGCGCCAGGTATAGATAAATCTATACGTTATATTGCATGTGGCTATTAAACCACAAAAGCAACAGCAACAACAACAACAACAACAACAAAAACCAAAGAAAACAATTTTAAAAGTAACGAGAAACGAGTAAAGGCTGTCTTTGGCACACCGAAGATTTGAATACCCTTGCATATATACTTATATATGAAAATAGTTTGGCTATTTTCAACCGATTCTTTCGATGGAGCTATAATATATATAATATATATAGTAATGCGATCTTGATAAGAGCATAATTGAAATATAGATATCTTGATAAACAAAGTTGTTTTCCATGCAAGAATCTACTTTTCAGCATGTGGATGAAAATGCATTGAAAACATGTTTCACACATATCCGAGAATCCACCTTTATTGGTGGAAAGTATGCGTCGTCCGATTTTATATTATTTGTACATTAATTTGTTTCACTTATGGATTTGTAGAATCCACCGTTACAGGTGAAATAAACGGGAAACAAGTGTTTGTTGACTCAAACACACAGATCGACAACTCGGATCTATTGCAGCTGATCTATAGAACTTATAGACTTGGATATATCTTCCTCTACACATTTCATGACAAAATGTTAATACTCTCTAAAAGGGTATAAAACAGCTTACTTTGGCACGGCAAAGATTAAATACGCTTGCAAAGCTCGAATACGCTTCGTAGTTCTTAAATAGATAAACCTTATAGCCTAATCCATTTAGATCCGATACTGATCAAGAATATATATATATATATGTGTGTGTATATATATACTTTATCAGGTGCCAGACATCTAGTTCTTTGTGTTGCACAGTTCGCGATAAGACTTTTATACCCTCAGCAAGGGTATACGAAATACAATTAAATTCCGCATGCGAACAACAGCGTCTATTGTCGACGTTGTTTTTTTTTTCCACATTTATAAATGCAAGTGTATAATTATGGAATTTCTAATGATTTACTGCAGAGCCGATCGTACTGCTACGCTTTCTCAAGTGCATGCACTATGAAGTGGAAAAGACGAAGACCCTAATCCAGCTCAACTATAGTCTGCGCAATAAGAATTCGAATATATTTCTGGATCGCAACATGGAGCACGAGTCAACGGCCAAGGGCCTGAAAGTATCGTAAGGCAAACAAACACTTAAATATCCTAGTCAGGCTCCTTTTGATACTCTTAATAATGCCACTTGTGCTTGCAGGGATTTACTCATTCTGCCAGGCGTCACACCGGAACGGCATAAGCTGCTCCTATTCCGCATGGCTGACCTCGATCCCAGCACGGTAAACTTAGACTCTACACATTCATTAATATAAATACATATAAATATTAACCAGTTTTGTGCTAGTTGACAGACTAACCGATTAGCTGTTGCTCTTTGATTATATGATCAGCTGAGTTCATGTTTGAGTTATTTACAATTCCATCCATGCGGCTGGAACATGGGTGGAAACTGTGCCAAGCAACTTGTTTGTCGTTCAACTTTTTCTCTTTTTCAAATATGTGCATTTTCAAAATGCATTGATCACATGTTTCACATACAATCCGACAATCCACCTTTATTGGTGGAAAGTATTCATTGTCCGATTTATTTTATTTTTACATACGGTTCAAATCCACCGTCACGGGTGAAATATAGCTTGAAACAAGTGTTAATTGGCTTAAAACAATTGTTAATGGTTCGATCTTAGTGCTATTTATTGTTATATCGAAATTGTTAAACCCTAGCGCAACTCCGTGGAGGAGAGCAAAATCTTCTTCATGATGGCCGATGCACGCTTCACCGAACCAGATGTCGAAAGGCCGGCAACAGATTCTGTACAGGGCCAGGCCATTGGCATTGCTGACGAGGATATTGCCGATGGAGATGTCCAGATCGTTGACATCAATGGCTATACGATGAGGCACTTGGCCTATGTTTCGATCTTTGTGCTGCGAGTCTACATGAGGTTTCTACAGGAGGCATATCCGTCGCGTCTGCGCGCCATACACATAATTAACTGTCCATCGTTTCTGGATCGAATGATGGCCATGATGAAGCCTTTTATTAGGGAGGAGGTCTACCAAATGGTATGTGAGCGACTTTAATTACTTTCCGATTAATATCTTATCGTTTACCAGATCAATTATCATACCGAGGGCATGGATAGCCTCTATGAGCTGGTGCCCAGGGATATGCTGCCCGTGGAATACGGCGGTAAAGCTGGCACAATTGCCGAAATCAAACAGCACTGGTTGCAAATCTTGAAGGATAAAACGTAAGTCCATGCAGCCCTAAGGGAAGTTATAGATATACATATAGATCGAATGTACGAATCCTTCGAAGTAGGCTTTAAGTTCGGCTAACTGATTGACTCGAGCTGTCGAGTATCGAGCTAAGCTTTGTTCGAAACGACGATTCATACAACCCGAGAACATTCATACAAACGAAGCTCGACTTGCAACATGTTCGAGCTAACCAGAAATATATTCGTTGTAGCAAGCAAAATAATCGAGTTTGAAGCGAGCTCAATTGGATCGAGTCGAATGAATCAATCTTTTCTCTACAATGCGAACAGCTCGAGCCGAAAAAACTTTGTGTCTTGCCGGGAATATCATACGCAACGTGTTGAGAGCCTTATCCGTCTGTATGCACGGATGGCGGTTGGATCTCGGAGACCATAAGAGCTCGAGACAGATCGAGTTCATTTCAAATGATTGATAACTCACCAAGTTGCCACGAAATCGATAATTATCGATTTTCAAATGGCATTCTTAGCCATAGCTCGAAGCTACAATGTTTTTGTATTGAAAGATTAGATGAAAGATGGATGCCTTTTATTGTGAAAATGTCATTAAGATCGGACAATAGAAACCGAAGTTATTCAAAATAATAATGAGACATGTGTTATATGATATATTAGAATGAACCCAATATATTTTCCGATTCCAGCGCATATCTGAGCGATGATAAATATTGGAAGGTGACATCGGGCAGCAAGAGTCGCTGGTCCTGGTTCTAATATAGAGCTCCATACAAATTTTGTACCAACTTATTGCCGCAAATGTGATTATAATGTTAAGAGGGCCCCCCCAAAAAAAAAAAACGTAGCTTATTTGAATTGACGCATAAGCACTGAATTCTACATTGAAATATCTGTGACAAAGTGAGGTTTTACCAAAAAAAAAAAAAAAAAAAAAAAAATTATAAAAAAAGTAGTTTTAGTTGTTTTCTTTTTTTAACCAGTTTCGGGATTTTCCATGCATTTTGTTTTAGCTTAAAATTTTTGAAAACGCTTGCATGTGCTCTAGAAAAATTGGTTCCATCGGCAAATGGAGACAATTGGCGCCTTACTGCAGCCCCACAGGCGACAGCTGCAGCATCTGGCGATTGCGCTGAGCTGTGTAAAGCTGCTGCGGGGCTTGGGCCTGGTTTTCCGCATGAAGTCGGATCGCCGCAACGAGGCCATCTCCATAAGGCCGCTGCTGGGCGCTTTGGTGCTGGCCGCGCTGGGCATGCGACTGGCTCAGCTGGGCGGCGATCGGCTCATGCTGAAGATCAATGGCAGCAGTCTGGCATTGAACCTGGTCTTTCTGGGCATGTTCTATGGCTATGCCACGCCGGCTTACAAGCGCCGCATTTGGCGCAGGACGCTGCTAATTGGCCTGCTGATTGGAATCTGTTTGTCTTACACACTGATCCAGCCGGAGCTGGCGACAGTCAAGCGACACCTGAGCATCATGATGACGGCCACCACATGCCTGCTGATTGTGATGGGGCTGCTGCAAGGTACTGGCGCTGTGCTGGGCTGCCTGATATCCATAATGGTGGTCACATCGAAGCTGCTCTATGCACTCTCCATGCTGAATACGTTCATGTGGTATCAGAATCTGTTGGTGCTCTGTCTGGATCTGCTGCGCATTGGATTCGCACTCACGTTGCGGCAGCGGGGCACGGCTTTTGGGGATTCGAGCCAAAATTATCTCAAATGCTAAGAGAGAGAGAGAGAGAGAGCGCTCCAAGTTTTAATGATCCATTATGTGTATATTTGTGTGCACATCAAATTTATTGTATCAGATCGTAAACATGGCCTAATGTTGGCTATTTAGTGTAAAACCCATTAACAATCAAATCAAGCGGCATCGCGTTTCTGTTCATATTTGAATTCATAATGGTTTCGGTTTCGGGTTCGGTTTCGATTTCGATTTCAGTTAAAAATTATTCAAAATTTGGTGTTCCAAGCGTGAATTCAATGCACGACCAGGTGATTTGATTGATGCGCAGAAGCTGTAACTGATGAGCGCGCGCACAAATTTTTGGGCACTATTAAGCGCCCGCAAATGGCAAATGGAAGCGGAAAGCAATTTAAAAAAAAATATGGTACGTGCGCGTACGTATACGCAATATCAATCAATAATCATATTTAAATATGTACACGAATACTGGAAACAAATATTAAAGGCGACGCTGGCCCAGTCAGTTGGGCAGCAGGCTTCAAACGCAACGGTTCGCTGCGCACGCATTTGAAAACCGATACCAATACCGATTGCGAGTACACGAGTACGAGTACCTTGTTCTGTTTCGCTTCGATAACGATAACTCAAGCATGAGCGGCGATAGTGAAAGTGAGAATCAGCTGAGACGCGATCGTGATTTGGCCGAGCTTTGCGAATGGTTTGCTTGCAATGAGAATCTGCCACAAGAAATTGGTAAACATCTTGCCGGGGCAAATGATGCAATGCCCCAACTAGCGCTGCGTTTGCAGATTGATGGGGAGGACGGTGGGGGTATTTTTGAAATGTTGCCAGCGAATGTAAACACTTGTCTCCATCGACCCAACCATGCGCCAATAATACTTAATGAGGTCGTTAGTAGGCAGAGAAGTATTTCGGCCGTTTCAATAGCCCATATGCTGTATGCTGGGCAGCCGTTACGTCATGGGACATCTATATATATATATATAAATATTTTTACAATATATACTCATGCATATCTATTTTGGCAGAGCCCCTGCTGCTGCGCCGCTTCTATCAGTGCATGTACGGTCATGTGGAGGACACCAAGAAGCTCATCGAGGTGAACTATGCGCTGCGCAACAAGCACCCGCATCTGTTTATTAAACGGGATCCGCTGGACGAGGACAGTCGTCGCACCTTTGACTATGCGTATGCCATATTTCAGTTGCCCTTTTGGAAATAGTCTAAGCTTTCCGATTGCAGGGATATATTACCGCTTCCGGGTCTGACGCCGGATAACTACAAGGTCTCGCTCTACTGCTTCAAGGACTTTGAACCGTCCAAGGTAAGCATGATTACAGTTTGATCTAATTTCTATGCTGCTGCTGAACAGCATTTCGTTTGCAGATGCATCACACGGAGGATACGCGCGCATTTTTCATGGTCATCGATTGTCGCTTCATAACGGTCGATGATCCGGCTCGACCCGAGCTGCTGTCGGAGGGCGAAGTGCAAATCTTTGATATGAAGGGCACCACAATGCGCCACATATCGCGTCTAACGATCAGCACGCTGCGTGCCTACATCAAGTTCCTGCAGGTGGCGTTCCCAGTGCGCCTCAAAGCCATCCACATGATCAATTGTCCCACATATCTGGATCGCATTGTGAGCGTGGTGAAGCCGTTCATTAGCGACGAGGTCTTCAGATTGGTGCGTGCCATCATCATCAAGTATATTTGGCCAGTTCTTGAATTCCATCCATTTTAGATACGATTTCACACATCCAACATTGACTCGCTGTACACGTTCGTGCCGCGCATGATGCTGCCCGAGGAATACGGCGGCTGTGCCGGATCGCTGGCCACGCTGCGCGAGCAGACCCAAAAGGTTCTGGCTGAGAAGCGGTGAGAAATACTTGAAGCAGCATATACTTATGTGGATGACCGAATGTTATATTTTTTAGCGACTATTTAATGGATCCCAATCATTGGCACGTTGAGAAGCCCGAGAAGCGTAACGGCAAATCGTGGAAGCTGTTTAACTAAGGCGGCTGCACAAAGACCAATTGACATTTTTTTTTCATAGATGTATAATTTGAATTTGTTTGCTTTTGTTCATAATTGTGCAGCTTTTGCATTTGCAATGTATTTATGTTTGTATATAATATTTGAAATATGGGTTTGTTCCTTTGAGGGTTATAAAACAGATGCCTTATGAAGTTCTTAAAGCTTATTGTTGCTTAAAACAGTTGTAAGTGAAACATTACCTGCACAAGACAGCTGACAAGAGAATATAGCAATGTGTTAACAAGTTAAACAATGAGCAAAATGTAGCACACATTTACTTTTACTTCAAATACGTTTATGAAAAGTTATCGATGCAGCTGTCTTTGTAATCGATATATGTCGTATTTTATCGCCGCGACTCGATAGCATCGACGCTGCACTGTGACTGCCAGAATAGTGAGAAGAAGCATTTACAATTGGCGCATCTCTAATGCCGTGTTTATTTTGAGCAGCAGCAACCGCACATATTGCTAAAAGAAAGTACGTTTAAAGTGCTGTAAAGCGTAATTTTATTGCTTTGACGAGTTTCCAACCACGAACTAAACATGGAACGGCCACAGAAAATGCCCAAGGTGGCAAAGGTATGTGGTTTAATTAATCGAATGCAGCGAGCGCACCTCAACCTAAAACGTTTTGCTTTCAGGTGAAAAACAAAGCGCCAGCCGAGGTGCAAATAACCGCGGAGCAGCTGCTGCGCGAGGCGAAAGAGCGTGATCTGGAGATATTGCCGCCGCCGCCGAAACAGAAAATCTCCGATCCCGCCGAATTGGCCGATTACCAGCAACGGAAACGTAAAACGTTTGAGGATAACTTACGCAAAAATCGCATGGTGGTCAGCCACTGGATCAAGTACGCACAATGGGAGGAGCAGCAGCAGGAGATACAGCGTGCACGCTCCATCTGGGAGCGGGCGCTGGACAACGAGCATCGGAATGTAACGCTCTGGCTGAAATATGCCGAAATGGAAATGAAGAACAAACAGGTGAACCATGCACGAAATCTGTGGGATCGTGCGGTCACCATAATGCCACGCGTCAATCAGTTCTGGTACAAGTACACCTACATGGAGGAGATGCTCGAGAATGTGGCCGGTGCTCGGCAAGTCTTCGAGCGCTGGATGGAATGGCAGCCAGAGGAGCAGGCATGGCAGACGTACGTGAACTTCGAGCTGCGCTACAAGGAAATCGATCGTGCCCGCGAGGTCTACGAACGGTTCGTCTACGTTCACCCCGATGTTAAGAACTGGATCAAGTTTGCGCGTTTCGAGGAGACGCACGGATTCATACACGGCGCTCGGCGTGTCTTTGAGCGTGCGGTTGAATTCTTTGGCGATGATTACATCGAGGAGCGCTTGTTCATTGCCTTTGCACGCTTCGAGGAGGGCCAGAAGGAGCATGAGCGCGCGCGCATTATCTACAAATATGCACTGGATCATCTGCCCAAGGATCGGACGCCCGAGCTGTTCAAGGCCTATACGATACACGAGAAAAAGTATGGCGATCGGGCGGGCATCGAGGATGTGATTGTGTCCAAGCGCAAGCATCAATACGAACAGGAGGTGGCCGCCAATCCCACCAACTACGATGCCTGGTTTGATTATCTACGCCTGATCGAGGCCGAGGGCGACAAGGACCAGATACGCGAGACCTACGAGCGCGCCATTGCCAATGTGCCGCCGGCCAAAGAGAAGAACTATTGGCGCCGCTACATCTATATCTGGATCAACTATGCCCTCTACGAGGAGCTCGAGGCGGAGGATGTGGCCCGCACGCGGGACATCTACAAGACCTGCCTGGAGCTGATACCGCACAAACAGTTTACGTTCAGCAAAGTGTGGCTGCTGTACGCACAATTCGAGCTGCGCTGCAAGGAGCTGCAGAAGGCGCGCAAATCTCTGGGCATGGCCATTGGCATGTGTCCCAGGGACAAGCTATTTCGCGGCTATATCGATCTGGAGATACAGCTGCGTGAATTTGAGCGCTGTCGTTTGCTATATGAAAAGTTTCTCGAGTTTGGGCCCGAGAATTGTGTCACATGGATGAAATTTGCCGAGCTGGAGAACCTGCTGGGCGATACGGAACGTGCACGGGCCATCTTCGAGCTGGCCGTGCAACAGCCGCGCTTGGATATGCCCGAGCTACTCTGGAAGGCGTACATTGACTTTGAGGTCGCTCTGGGCGAAACGGAGCTGGCACGCCAGCTATACGAGCGGCTGCTGGAGCGCACGCAGCATGTCAAGGTCTGGATATCGTTTGCCAAATTCGAGATGGGCGTCACTCATGGCGAAACGGATGCGGATGCCGACATGAGCATCTGCCTGGCACGTCGCATTTACGAGCGTGCCAACGATATGCTGCGCCAGCTAAACGACAAAGAGTCGCGTGTCCTGCTGCTGGAGGCGTGGCGGGACTTTGAGCGCAATGTGAACGATGCGCAGTCCCTGCAGAAGGTGCTCGACAAGATGCCGCGTCGCATCAAGCGGCGACAGAAGATCGTCTCCGATGACGGCGTCGAGGAGGGCTGGGAGGAGATCTTTGATTATGTGTTCCCCGAGGATGAGATGGCGCGACCAAATCTCAAGCTTCTTGCCGCCGCCAAAATGTGGAAGAAGCAAAAGGACAATGACACGGACACTGAGCAAGCTCCAGCTGAAGATATTAAACCACCACCAGCTCCAGTTGATGCATAGAAAGGCAACTATCCTCCACTCCCCCCTTCCCCATACACTTTAAAATAAAAATTTAAATGGAATTTGCGTGCAGTGCTTAATTTTATTCTATTTTTTTAACAGTTAAAACTGTGTGCTTGTTGAGTGGCTTCTACTCAGGACTACTATATAATATATATATATATATATCTGTCCTGATCGATCAACACACAGTCAAACTTTCAGAGCTAAATAGCTAAAAGTTGTATTGTAGTTAGTTTATGTGTTCTAAGTGCAGGCTAAGATTGTGTTTCCATCCGCAAAATCATTTGAGAAGTGATTCACACTTTTCGCAAAATCCACCCTCTTTGGCGGAATACGCGGTTGAAACATATTGCGAGCGAAAGTTGAAGTTTTAAATGTAGTTTTATGCGTTTTATCCGATCGATCTATGAAAATTATATATAAAAACTCACGAACGGGAAAATCCAATTGGGAAATATCATCCTAATTTGCGAGTATATAGTCTAGAGCAATAGATCTGTGATTGTGTTTGATTTTACAAGGGATATATATATAAATACAGTACAGTATATATCTATATATATAGTATATAGCTTTAATTATGGATTTCTATAGGAGTAGGGACTGCCATATATTTGCCTATGTCAAAGCCCTGGTCATACTGAAATATTTCGTTTCTCGGATATAACTAGTATATCTATAGGTCCATCTAAAACTCTGATTATGGATTTCTAGATGTCAAAGCATAAGATTTGATTTGAAATTGGGCTATAAAAGTATGAGGTATGCCAGAAACTTAATTTTCCTAGAAATAACGTATCTCTATATATAGAGATATTTCTCGGAGCTCTACACGATAAGCCATAGTATAATAGCTGTATAATTATGTTTGCAAAGATCCAAAGTTTTCTGAGATATTTGGATTATATGGGTTTTATATATTAGCTCTTATTGTGCTCGCAGGGATCTTTAGTTTTTTGGGGGATTACTTTAGATCTGTCTACCTTTGACCTGAAATATTGGTTACGATGTGCTGAATAACATGCTGCTGAAGGCATTACTTTTCAGGGATCTGAGTATTATCAGAGTTAAGTTGGATAGTTGCTTCCTCAGGCCAGCTCCTGGTGGCTTACTTGGCTCTCAGCAGCAGTGTGAAGACGGACCAGGTGGACCTGATGACCTGGAAGTGAATCCCAATGGATAGACAAGGTTGACAATTGAGAAATGTGTGTGTGTGTGTGCGTACCTGAACGAATGTCTTGAGAGTGACGGCTATGTAGCCGCCGGCATAGATGCAGAATGTCTGCTGGCTGGTCATCAGGGTGATGATCAGGATGCGTCTGAACTGCGGCGTCTGGTCCACCCAGTTGCAGGCATAGAAGGCATCGCAGAGCTTCTCGCTCTGCCCGCGCATGCGATCCCCAAAATAGCAGATGATGAACACCTCCAGGGTGACGGCGATAAAGAACACCATGGACAGCGCCATGGCGGACAGATCATTCGAGTCTGTCACGTATAGAAAGTGCATGCCCACGGTGCACTGAACGGCCGCGGAGCAGAGGAACTGGGCCAGGCAGGCGATCGATAAGATCTGCTGAATGATCGCGTGCAGCTTGATGATGTTGATGTAGTCATCGATGCAGCTGCACAGCTCCACGTGGACAGCACGACGCCAGCGCTGGTGATCGCAGCTGACCGAGCGCGAAGACCAGGCCGGATAGCCAATGCGGCGGACGCGCAGCTCCAGAGCGCGCATATGGCCCGTGAGTATGCACAGATAGGCCGGCGGATAGGAGTCGTTGGCACAGTCCTGCAACGCCTGAACAGCCAAGCCGAACAACTGATAGCCGCAGAGGCACAAATATGCCGCATCCGAGTGCTGCCAATCGATGCCGAACCAGGCGGGATACAGCAGAGTGCGCTCCCGGCTGATTGTCACACGCAGACAGCTAAGCGCTGTGCCGAACACAAAGATGCCGGCGAATATGCGAAAGCTGTTCCGCGCCATATTGATGGCCAACTGGAGGGCCTGCAGCTCCTCGGGATGCTGCACGCCGATCGCCCGTCTGTCCAGCTGTTGCAGCAGACGCCGGATCTCGGCCAGCTGGCGGCGCACCAGATACACATTGATGAACTTGAAATTGGCCGCAATGTCCGTTATGGTGATGGTCAGATTCTCGCACAGCTCCTGCAGGCTGTGCGTGAAGAACAGCTTCGCCAGCAGCGTCAATGGAAATAGCAGTGTGACCAGCGCATTGATCAGAATGGCGCGCAGCAGATGCAACGGCCGGGACATGCCCGCCGGCTGGATCAGGCCGGTCAGCTCCCAGACCCGCCAATGATACCGCACAGCATCGTGTGTGTTCAGTTGCCAGATGCCGAGCTCATTCCCATCCGCAACTCCATTCCCATTCGGTCTGCTCGCCATTTCCGCATCCGTTTCGATTAGCTGCGGCGCCTCCTGCATATAGTCCATTGTCGTTGTCCTGCCAGCTTTTTGGTGTACTTCCGCCCGGCACACTGGCATTTATAGCACTCCGGTCCGACTGTCCGGCAATTACGTGCTCCATTATAGACCATTATAGAACCGAAAGTTCGTAATGACAGCGAAACATTCAAAAACAACCCAATCAAAACTGCATTAAAAGTTCGCTGTTTATTTTCTGTTTTGGATTTTATTTCGAAAAGTTTATCAACTTGGCTGTTTGGTGGAGGGGGAGGGGGGGCTTATCAATCAATCAATCAATCAGTCATTCAATAAAAAGAAACTAACTAAACGGCGGGGTTCAGCAGCAGGAATTTAAACGCTCCTCGAAACAATTTCAGGTAATTCGGCAGAGACAATTCTCATGATATGATACAAATGCACGTGTGTGTGTGTGTGTGTGTGTGTGGGAAATTTTCTTGACCCCTTTTTCATTGCTGAAAATTGACATGAAGAGCGCGAGAGACTTGAGAGATGGGCGTAAGGACTGAAGCAAAAGTTTTGCCATAAAATCCAATTAGAATTTGCACAAGAAACAAAACAATTCAAATAAGAAACGTTTCATTCTATATTCAATAGGAAAAATCATAACAAGAGCGAGAATAATCTTATCTAATCTTATAAACAATATAAATAATACGTATTTTCGGCAAGTAAATTAATTAAATTAATTTAAATTGAATTCAACGAACCCCAGCCCGAATCGTTGTAATTTATATAGAATTTATAACTAGAATCTGCCATCCAATAAGCTTGGAAGAAACTCAATTATTGGCCTATATAATATCTGATCGAGCTTAGATTTAATAAATGGGCTCGAAGAAGTCAACTTCTCGACTTGGCAGTTGATTTAGATCAGCTTTTAATATATATATTATACATATGCGAATGCTTGTCTAAGATTATGGATTTGAGAACCAGCAGAAAAGAGTTCGCTGGTTCAATTTAGGCTGCCTTGGTTTTTTTTGAATATATTTAACTAGATATTCATGTATATATATTTCAACATTTTAATAATAATTGCATTTTTTTCTAGTTTTTTGTTATTACTTATGCCCATTGTACTGAAAATATTGCAAGCTCTATATATTTTCTTAAACAAGATGCGGGCTAAATTTGATCCCTTTAGGCAACAATTGGGGCCAAAGTTATTTATATGCTTTGGTTCGGGTTGCGGTTCGACTGTTTTAACAAAATCAATCATAATTGCGAGTGTAAAATAAGGCTTCGATTAACAGACATAAACTTCATTATAAACCTTGGAATACCTAATTTATGCTTAGGATTTGTTTTCAGCGTGCATCTGGCTTAATTGCACAACACAATCGAAACTCAGGCTAAGAACAAGAATCTTAATTATCTAAAAAAATACCTATTAACTACTTTCTTGCTGCTTGAGCAATGTGATATTTGGTTTATTCGTGACAGTCGTGTCTGTTCATAATTGTGCCCATCTCTAAGATATTGTAACGGTATGAAGAGTGAATAAGTCGACTATGCATGTGTGTGTGTGTATATGTTCTTTGTATATTTTGTATATAGTTGAATACATATGCATGCGAGCATGTATGTGTATGTATGTGTTATCATAGCATTCACATAATCTTAAGAGGCGTTAGTATGTATAAACATGTGCATATATATATATATATATATACATATGTATTTATATAGATATTTACATGGAAATTGCAAACATGATTTGATCTAGAGGCAATATAAATATATATATATATTTACTTCTATATTGTATTAGTTGGGTTAAGAGTATAAAGCTATGCTGTGTGTGTGTGTGTGTGTGTGTGTGTTGGTGTGTGGGAAGCGGATGCGGATGTGAATGCGAATGCGGATGTTCTGATTAACGGAGAAAAAAACACAAAAACAAATCGTAGATGCACACAATAGACAATACATGTTCTCTTTTTTTCTTTCTTTCTTTCTTTCTTTCATTTTTTTTTGTTGTTGTTTTCTTTCGTTTTGAGAGGCAATCTTAATTTGTAATTTTTAAGAATTAATTTAAAAATACAATTAAGCGAAATATGTGAATGTTAGCAACTAAATTGCATACAAAGTGTAATTCATTAAACAAGACAAGAAACATTTAAATACGTTATGTTTATATCTTTTCTAGCTTTTCCTTGTTGTTTTCTTGTTCTTTTCCTTTCTTTTAATTTGATATTTAAAAATAAAAAAATAAAAAAACAACAGGGAAAAGCTAAGTGGAAATATTAACTAGTTTACAATCCAAAAAAAATTGTTCATAAATATTTGAAATAAATTAATTTTTTTTTTTTTTAGGTTTTTCGTTTGCTTTTTTTGTGTTTTCACTTAACAATTAACAATTACAATGCGTTACGTTACGTTACGTTACGTTACGGTGCGTTACATTACGTTACGTTACAATCAACAAATATTTAAGCTGAGTTTGGCGCAAAAAGCAATTAATTTAAATATGCTATTGTACAATCGAATGCAATTAACAGCTATTCGAATTCTATAGTTTATATTGTTTTCTTTTTTGTTTTTTTTTTTTTTTTGTGGATTTATTGCATTAAGCTCAGTTCTCGGTCGCCAAATGAAGAATGCAACACAAAATTGATGTGGAAAATGATTAATTGTTTTTTTTTTTTTAGTTTTTAAATATTTTTTGTTTGTTTAGTTGATTGTTGTTAAACTAATTGTTAGCGTTTGTTTTGTTTTTGTTTTGTTTTTGTTTTTTTGGGAAGGGTCTTGAGCTGATTTTCAAGGCAAATGGGAAAGTTAATTATAATAAATTAATTAATTGATATTTTGTTTTTTTTTTTTTAGTTGTCAGCCGCCTGCTTGCCCGGCTCTTGCTCTATTGCATTTAATTCGCTTTGATTTTGATTTTGTTTTTGTTTTTGATTTTGATTTTGGTTTTGGTCTTTGTTTGGACTTGTTGGAATTGTTGCATCTTTTGTAATTCCGACCTTTGCGGCGGCGTTCTGATTTGAATTTGCATTTTTGTCTTTGTCTTTGGCATCCTGCAAAAGAATAATGTATTGATGTATGCCAGCGATATATATGCACATATATATATATATATATATGTGTGTGTGTGTGTTAACTAATTGTCTAAACAACATTTGCAAATTCGGGTTAAACAAATCACCTATCGAGAGACTCAGGGGAACTCAGGGGAACCTAAGCTAAATTTGTTGTGCCTGCTTGTGTTTCGAGTGGGTGTGTGTGGGTGTGCGTGTGTGCGTGTGTGTGGGTGTGTATAGTGTAATCTTGGAGTGAAGAGAGATTCATAGATATCCATAACAGCATATATGATAGGGAGAAGTTGTTTCGCTTTGCAGCTCGTCTCCCGTCCGGCTAATGGAGCTGCCTGCTTGGTTGATTGAGGGGGAATGAGTTGGGGAATTGAAGGAGAAACACATTAATATTATTTGCTTGGCTTAAATGGGCACTTACCTTGGCCATCACCGTGGCGGCCTCCTGTTTTAGATATGATACGCGCGCCGTTTCGTACAGTGAAACAAATTTGTCGCGCTGCACCTTGAACTGGGCGAACAGTTTGTCATCTTTGTTGCCCTTGAGGCGATTCTCGATGTCCAGCTTGGCGTTGTGGACGGCGCGTATCTCATCATTGACCCACGGCTTGTCAATGGGATACTGATTGACCAGATTTTTGAGCGTCTTGATGCTGCTCTTGCCCTTGACCACCTGCTTGATCAGTTTCGGATTTGGCTTCTTGATTTTGCCACCATTCAGATTGCCGTTCATGTGGCCCATGTTGTAGGGTATAGGCACGGGCGGCATGCCGCGCGGTGGCATGCGTGCTCCCATCATGTGTGGACCCATCATTGGCGGCGGCATTGGCGGACCGCCGCGTCCGTTGCGACGCATAAATGCCGGCGGCGGAGGCGGCGGTGGACCGCCCATCGGTGGCATTGGACAGCGCATCGGCGGCATGGGCGCTTGATAAGGCATTGGCGGATATGGCGGCATGGGACACGGACCACCACGTGGTCCCATCGGTCCGCCGCCTGGACCCATTGGACCCATCATGTGACGACCGACGTTACGATTTACAGGGCCTCCCATCATTTGTACTCTGTTGTATCCGTTACGCTGTGGTCCATTGAAGCGATTGACATTGGGCGCCTGGAAACGTTGCTTGGGATGCGGATGCGGATGCGGATGCAGATGCGGTTGCCAGCTATTGTCGCCCCCACCGCCACCACCTTGTTGCTGCATCTGTGACGCGTAATGCGAATTGTGCGGATGATGATGTTGATGCTGTTGATGCTGTTGTTGTTGTTGTTGTTGTTGCTGCTGTGACTGTTTGCCTTTAAGCTGTTTACCTTTTATATGTTTCTTTTTACCGCCATCTGCATGGCCAGAACCAGAGCCGGCATTGCCGGCTATTGCGGATTGTGTTGACGGCGCGGATTTGATCGGTGGTGCTGGCGCCGGTGTATTAAAGTCTATATAGAGCGGATCGCTGGGCATCTGGCAGGATGAGTACATCATATGATTCTGTGTCAGGGCCTGCGGCCGGTAGGGCGGCTTACGGTACGGTGCAATTGCGGCACGTACATTTGAGCGCTGTTGCTGCTGCATAACCCGATTGTGTTGGAAATGATTACCTTTGGCTGCCATTTAGAAAGCAATTTGATTTGTTGCAAACTTGGCGTTTTGCAGTTTTCGCTCTGACGGACTGTCAGAGTAGAAAAAAAAATATATGAAATTCCTATCACACGCTTAAATATTGCTAGTTCAATTGTAGTTGTATATTGCGTAGGGATGAGCAACAAATTGACGCGCTGTGACTGTCAAAAGTATCGATTCATCAATTAACAACCAATCGATACTGCGCCTTGTTATCGAATTTGAATAGCAAGTTTAAAATAAATTGAAAAAATAATATTAGATACATTTAATATGATATTATCAAAAAATATACCACTAAGTACTTAAATGCCAGATTTAAAAGCAAAATCGAGCTTTATATCAAACTTGTAGCAAACTACTCGAGTGAACAAATTAATAGGTCATATCATACTTGAATCGAAGCTTGACAAAGAACTAACATTATATTGTCTATTAGGCAGTTAGGCAATGAACTCGGAAATATCTTGCTAAGTATATGTTATACACATAAATTATGAAATAACGTATTC